AGCCCTCATCTGAGTGGGTCCAAGGAAAAGCCTTTGGTTAAGGTCCTGCAGAATAGCACTGCTGGCTCCTCCCAGCCTGATGCATAACATTTTGGGGCTGTGATTTTCCAACCAATTGCATATCCACCTTATGACACCACTGCCTGTCATGTGATATTTCATCAAATGCCTTATGTAAATCAAGAGATGTCACATCGAAACCTCAGAGAGGGCTCCTTCCTGCCCATGGCAGGCTTCGGCAGCGAGAGCCAAGCCCCTCGGAGCATGTGTGCCGTGGGTCAGGGATCTTCCCCCACACGGCCTGTGTGGATGGCCATGGCCAGGGGACCTTGCGCGCAAGCCTTGCTTTTCTCCTCTTCTGCATGCATCTTCCAACACTGAACCCCCGACCGACCGCACAGCGCTCTCCTGGGTTGGAGTGCCTGGGAGTACATGGTGGCGCCGGGCGGGGTGAAGTGGGCCTGTCGGGCTCAGGGTATCCGGGGCCACTTGCTCCGGTCACATGTGCAGCGGGTGGAAAACGGGGGCAGGTGAATTTGCCTTTGCGGGCCCCTGTGGGGTCTCTAGAAAGACGCCTTTCCGGTTTTCACTGGGCTGCAGGGCTTGGAGCAGGGCTAAAAACAAACTTTACCGTAAAAGAAGGCTTTTGCAGGTGGGGTAGGAAGTGGGAAGAGGGAATGCAAACATCTTTCTGCCAGAGGCTGTTGCCGCTGCTTTGCTGCGGCTTCTGGGGAGCACGAGTGGGCCGGAGGGTGCTGCTGCCTTCCTGCTTCAGCCGAGGCTCGGGCTGGTCCCTGCAGGAACTGGGATGCTGGCCAAGAGAAGATCCCACCCCTCCTCCGGCGGGCCTTCCGTGTGCTCCGCAAAGTCCCTCCTCCTCACAGCCCTGCAAAGCTCAGATCCTGTGAGATGCTCTTCTGAATGGAATGTGCGCTTGTGCCAAGAGGGCGTGCGTGCGTGCGTGCTGAGAGCCCTTTCCCTCAGGGGTGCCGGAGCCACGGGTGGTGGTCTCCGAAGAGCAGCGCAACCTGGGACTCGGCTGGGGGCAGAGCGGGGAGCGCTCTGGGGAGGAGGCTCTGCTCGTCCAGGCTGCAGAGGGGCGTGCTACCTGCGGGCAGCCTCCGACCCACTTTTTCTCCTCCAGCCTTTTGATGCCCTGCCCCAGAGGGAGGGCAGGCCTGTCGGCTGCATGACCGCAGTTGTGCCTGGTGATGGGAGCCTGCTTGGCTACTGCCTGTGGAGGCTGGGGCTGGCATGGACCCCCTCGTCCCCTGGTTGGCTTTTGCACCTTTTTCTTGTCTTTTAGGGGGGTTTCTTTTAAGGAAAGGGTTGTGTTTCTTAAGACTCTTGCCTCCTGCTGACTATTGTGTGGACATTGACTTGTTCTGTTTTAAGTAGGTTAATATTTTTACACGATGCTTTGTTCTGCTTCGTGGTCAAGGGTGCCAGTGCCCAGTCATGTGGCAAACAGGAACCCCTTTCCTTCCTTCCGGTTTTTGTCCCTCTGCTTGCACCCCTCCTCCTACAGGAAGGACCACAGATCCTCCAAAGGATGACAAAACCGGTTCTGAGGGTGGAATGCAGCTGGTGTGTGGGATGTGGGGCTCATGAGGTTGCTCCCGGGGGTCTGCAGGGGCCCTGCACGAACCCCACTGACTTCTCTTGCACCACTGGCCCTCCTGAGCCCGAACATCCATAAGTGGGAGCAGAACAGATCTCTTCCCTGGATATCTCATAACAAGGCTTCTTCCTTCACCCTCTGGCGCCCTTCTGCTCTGGCTCTGGAGACGGGTGTGCTTGCACTCACTGATCCCGTCCACCAGCAAAGAGTCCTCCTGCTGCTGCCTTGATGCGGGTGCTGTGGGGGCACCGTGTGAGGGGGAGCGGGCAGGGGGACCTGGGCAGCTCTGCCCGCAGGCGGAAGTCGGAGGATCCAAAGACCAGAGGAGCTGCACGCTGGCCAGCGTGTGTGTTGCCAGATGCCAAAGCTGGTGGGGAAAGGCTGCCTCAGATTTTCAGCCGGTGTCCTGCAGCCGGAAGACCCGCTGCCTCGAACGACAGCAGCCACTTGAGGCGGTTCTGGTGAGGCCACCATGGCCCGCCTGCTCCCGAGCTGCCTCACCCGGCCTCTAGGAAGGAGCCCTCAGCCTCTGGGAGGACTGTACCCCCAAGCATGCTCTTCTGGCCCTGGATAAAGGTGGGGGAAGTGTCTCCTCTCTGTCCGGCTGATCCTGCCCAGCCCCTGTGGGCAGCCGCTGCTCTGGCGGGAAGGGGCAACGGGAGCCCCTTTGCGCCTGGACCTCCAGTGCCACCACGCTCCCCATGCCTTGCGGCAGGTTCTTCCCTTGCTCCCATGTCTGGCTTGCTTCAAATACGAGGCTTGGCTGGTCACCTGCTTTTCTCTGTGGTGCAGCCTTTGCATCCTGCCTGGCCCTGGCCTCCAGGCCTCCTGAAGGCGCGTTCGAGAGGATCGTGGCCCCTATTCCATTGCAAACACTGCACCCTGAGTAGGGGAGCTCCTAGAGCAGATACGGACCAGGGTAGGCCTCATCCAGGCAGGTCTTCACACGATGACAGAGTGGAGGATCCTGTGCCCCCGCCTGGGGCTTTGCGCCCTTGTAGAGTGTGTGCGCTCAGCGCGCTGAACGGCGACGGAACTGGGCCAAGCAGCTGTGAGAAGTTCCTGGCCAGCGGAACACCCTCCCGGCAGGAAGGGGAATTCCAGCCGGACAGGAGCCCCTCACGCAAGTGGGGGAGGGGAGCGCCCTTCTCCCGGCTCGCTTCCCGTGCATCCTTGCCTTCCCAGCAGCCTGCGTGCTGGAGGGAGCGCGGCAAGCACGAGGGGGGTCCCGGGCCGCGTGCGTGCAGCGTGTGAGACTCGCCCAGCCGCGTTCCGCCGGCGTGTTCGATGCTTGCCTGGTTGCCTCTGCCCAACGCCTCTGTGGCGGTGGCGACTCCGGGGGCACTCCGGCCTCTCTGTGCTGTGGGGCACACGTGTCCTTGTGGAGCACGTGGTGCTCTGGCTGCCGTCGCCCTGCTGGGCCGGCACCGCGCAGGCTGCACGTGCTTGCCGCATTCTGTAATGCAGCTGGGATCCGTTGGCGGCGAGGGAGGACTGGGCCCTGGAGGCACACCAGCCCCTAAGCAAGGGGGCTGGGACGAGAGGGAGCTGGCCGCGTGCGCTGTGGCTCTCCTGGATGTGAGCGAGGAGCGCGTGACAACCGTGGGAAGTGGAAGAGGCGGGAAGCGATGGCCCGGCCACTCTGCTCCAGCTCCTCCGGGGCAGGTGAGGGCAGCAAGGCTGCAGGGCACCTGTTCTGGGCTGTTTCCTCCACCCGGGGGCCTACGATACCTGGCATCCGGGGGGCGGGGGAGTAAGCCAAAAGTTTGGTCGCCGGCAGCTCCAAACTAGGAGTGGGGGCCATGGATGAGTGCTCAGGAATGAGTGGCTTTGGTCACAGAGAAAGGCCTGAAGTTGGGCGACCGCAAAACGCTGCATAAGGAGCTGTGGCAGAGAAATGGATGTAGCAACACAAATTAGTGAGAAGCAAAATCCAAACTTCTGATTTGGACACCCAGAAAGCTTTAGTTGTTGGACTTTGCAGAAATGTATTGAATCCATCCAGGAAACATTCTTTCCTAAAAATATGGCATGATTTTATTTTAGATATAAATCCAGAGTATACGCCGCAATACTGGTCAATGCCTTTCCGTAGATTATGGGAAAGAGGCTAAATGTCAAGTGTTTATATTAACCCTAACGACAACCTGAAGCTGCCATAAAGTGGAGAATGGAGCATCTTTCTGACAATAGATTTGCTTCCAGTGTTTGTTCTCTTGTCTTTGTATTTGGATCACAGAATCCTAGAATAGCAAAGGCGGAAGGGGCCAACCCCCTCCTCAGCGCAGGACCGCCAGTTTAACCACCCCTCACAGAAGACTGTTTAAGGTTTTCCTTAAGGAGAACACCCCGGATTGTGTCTGTGAGGAGAGGGAGTGGGGAAGGGGGCCACCTCCCTCCTGCACCGCTGGGGCATCTTCGCTCAGCAGCCTCCCCGTGGGGGACTGCTCTGTCTGGCATCCGCTGAGCTCTTCCCGCTGCCTCCGGACGGATCACTGGGAAGCTCTCGTGCAGATAACGGGGCAGGGGCTGGCTCGGGCAGTGCTCTCGGCCCCAGCCTGCCTGGGCCGGTTTTCCTCCCATGTCCGCAGGGTGGGCCCGTGGCCAGAGGCCACCCCCAGTGAGCAGGATGTTCCCCTTAGGGCCTTTCGGCTGCTTGGGCCTGTGCCGCCCCTCGTTCCTCCGGTCACCCGCTGGCTTCCCCCTCCACGCGATGGGGGTTTCCGCAGCAGGATGAAGGCGGCTTGGCACGGAGGCTGCAGGCCTTCCCAAGGAGGGGACGGGGGCAATGGCAGGTGGCCATTGGAGGCTGGGGCGGATGCCAGGATCCTGCCTTCCACAGGGACTTCCCTGCCCACGCTGGGCTCATTAACCCTTTGGCCCCCAGATCCTTGCCCATTTTGGTCAGAGGGCTCCTGGCAGCCTGGGGTCTGGGAGTGTCCTTTGCCACTCGGAAACAGGAAGAGGGACCCCAGGTGGTCCTTGTGATGGAGAGGCGGTGTGGCCCAGTACGGGAGGGTGCCCAGGGCAGCAGGCGGTGCTCAGCTGTGGCCCACCTCCCTTGTGTTGGGGCCGAGGGAGAGCCCCCTCCCCGAAAGACATGCTCTGAGTCACCCAGCAGGGGAGAGAATTCTGCGCCTGCTCAGGACCGGGACGTCCCCTGGAAGGCATTCTCAGCCCCTGAGCACATGTGCTTTTCGGGCAGGAGGGTTGGCCTCCCTGGGCCCCCAGCACTCTGCCCCTTGCCCCGTTGGCCACAAGACAGAGCACTGGCCCGCCCTCCCACGTCTGGGCCAAGCGGGGCATCCCGGCAGCTCTTGCTGTGGGCCGTCTGGGCCTCACCAGCTGCAGCCTTCCCACCTGCCTGCTCCTCCCCCAGGCCCGGCGGCGGCGGCGGCAGAGGGATGGCTGAGGCGCGCCGCAGCAGCAGCAGCAGCCTGCAGAGGAAGAAGCCGCCGTGGCTGAGGCTGGACATCCCGGTGCCCGGGCCAGTGGCCACAGCGGAGGAGCCAGCCTCTTTGGTGCAGGTACCCACGAGCAGGGGGCGGCCGGGCGCACTGGGGGCTGCGGGGGGAGGAGGCGCCTCTTGTGGGCCACCCCGAGGCACTGGGGACACTGCAAGTGACCGTGCCCAGACGTTCTGGGGATTTGCTGGGGATCCTGAGTGGGGGGAGGGGCCTGCAGGCCGCTTGGGGTGCAGAAGGTCTCCTGCGCAAGGGTCCAGCCCCATCCCGAGAAGAGCTGCCGCCGCCGGCCAGTGCAGTCAAGGACGGCCAGAGGCACCATCGCCCACCAGCCCTCCTAACGCTTCGTGAGGACTGGGGCTCCGGGGAGGCAGGCCTCTTCCCTGGCTGGCTGCTTTTGCTCGCCGGGCGCCCCCTTCCCAGCTGCCCGGGCTTTGACCGCCTCCTGCCCCCTCCCACAGCCCTCCAAGCGCCAGGCCTTCCTCAGGAGCGTCAGCATGCCCACGGAGAGCGCCTGCCTGCCCTCCCCTCACCACGAGGCGTGGCGACCCTTCCTCCAGCGGCAGCTCTCCATCACCCAGACCATCCGGAGGTGAGAGGACTGTCCACGGAAGGGAGGCTGCGGAGCTCCGCCGTGCCGGAGGAGGTGCTCCTGGTGCCCACTGGAGGGGTTTCAGCTTCCAGCGCCACCTGGCCACAGGCCCCTGACCTGCCCGTGGGAGTGGCCTCTGATGGCCTGTGGCAGCCCTCTGGGGGTGGGTCCCGAGGGAGGGCAATGGGGGGCAAGGGACGGTGTGGTGGCCTGTGGCACGGGAGCCGCTGCCTGACTGGCGGAGAGCCTGCTTCTGTGCCCCTCGGCGCGCCACAAGGCTCTGCTGCCCACCCCGTGGCCCCTGGGTTTGCGCATGGGGGTGGGCCTGGGGTGCCAGAAGGGCTCCCTTTTCCTTGCAAGCACCAGAGTGCCGTGGGACGTGGAACGAGTCTCAGCTCTCCAGTGGCTTCTCTGGGCCCCACGGTGACGCTGGGGGGTTTCAGAGATCTTGCAGAAAGTGTCCCTCCCTGTCGTGCCTGTTTTGTGCCGTGCTTCTGTGAACACTCAGTTCCTTTCTGTGAAAGTGCTGAGGCGCAGCAGCCCAAGGAAGAGCGAGCGCGGGACCGGAGCATCCCCACCGGTGCAATCGGGCTTCCAACCAGAGGCAGGATGTTCTGCTCCCCTCTCCAAAGGGGACCCCTCCGCGAGCGAGAGCTCCAGGCTTCCATGGCAGGGCTGGCGCCAAACTCCTTGGCTGCCCCAGACTCCCTGCACCGTTGGCCCCTGCTCTGCCCAGGAACCTTCTTGCTCGGGTGGTGACCCTCACCTGGTCGCCAGCCCCAGGGGACTTGGCCGCCTGGCCAGTCCTACACACTCTGCCAACCGGAGGCGCCCCACGCCTCCCTGGCCCAGCCTCCCTGGTCCGGCTGGGGGCCGCTGGCCCACTGGTGCGCACACCACGCTGTGGCCCCTGCCCCTCCTCACAGGGCCGCAAGGGCCCCTTCCCGCTAAAGCCCGCCAGAGGAGGAGGGGGACACATGAGAAGGGAGCCCCCACCGGCGGAGGCTGCTGCGGCAGCGGGGCCGCCCCCCTGGGGCCCCACCAGCCCCGGCCCGCTCAGCTCTCTCTTCTTTGCAGCAGGCAGGTGCGTTTTGAGCGGACGCAGACCCTGCCCGTCCGGGGGCACCAGGTGGGCAGGAGGCCTCTGAGAAAGCGCCAGTCCCTGCCCAGAGCTCTCCTCAGGTACCTGCAGTGCCGGTGTGACACCTTCCCGCATGTCCGTGGAGTGCATGCGCCCCGGGAGCGGCCCTGCCCGCCCCGCCCCGCCCCACCCACAGTGGGGCCTGGCTGCCACGGCTGCCCAGCACCCAAATCACACACGCGCTCCCCCCGGCCCCGCTGGGGCATCGCTGAGGCGGGCCTGGCACTCGGCCCAGACCGGGGCTCGCTCACAGCCGCTCTGCTGCAGCCTGCACTGCACCCCAGGACGGGGGCTTGGCGTGGTGCGCAGCTCGGTCCGGGAAGGGGCAGAGCGCGGGGCCCCGACTGCCCGTGCTGTGCATGCTCTTGGCCACCGGCCCGACTGGCCATGGAATGTTTGGTCCGCCCCGGTAGCCAGGATGCGCCTGGTCACTTGCAGCCCCCTTCCTGCCCTGCCGCAGTGGTGGGTCTGCGAGCCCCCCGCCCCTCCCAGGCCCATGAGGAGCTCCTGCTAATGAGGAACACGTGGGGACGCTCCCCACACCGGATGCCCGTGGTAAGAGGCGCCACCCTGCCGGCCGCTCCCACCTGGCTGGTGTGGCCAGGCCAGGTGGCACTCCTGGGCCCATGACAGTGGAGCTGCGAGGCTGAGGGCGCAGGAGGTGTGGCGACGGCCAGAGGCGGCTCCAACGGCTCTCAGCGCAGGCCCGCCTGCCGTGCTCGCCCTCTGCAGGGGCACCGCCGACTGGTTCGGCATCAGCAAGGAGAGCGACTCTGCGCAGAAGTGGCAGCGGAAGAGCCTGCGCCACTGCAGCCTGCGCTACGGGAAGCTGAAGCCCCAGGCCATGCGCGAGACGGATCTCCCGAGCCAGGACAACATCTCCCTGGCCAGCGCTGAGACACCGCCCCCACTCTATGTGCCCCCGTGCCAGCCGGGCATGCAGCGGGTTAGTGCGGGCCGTGGGCGCGGCAGCCCCCTCCCTGCCCCCGGGCCCCATGTGCCTGGCCCGGGGGCCGTGAAACTTTGGGGCGGGGAGCGGAGGGGGCCATCGTTCCGAGATACCTGCTCGCCCCAGCCTTGGGCCAGGGACCTGGGACCACTTCCCAAGGGTTGCTGGAGGAGGGGCGCTCAGAAGCCCCCTTTCTGCACTGTGGCAGATTTGGCCATGGCCTCTTGACCCTGGTCCCCCAAGGCTGAGGCCGGCCCCCTGCGGCACGTGGTCCTGCAAGGGGCTCCCTGACCCCCACTCTCCCGGCAGATCGTGGATCCCCTGGCCCGCGGTCGGGCCTTCCGCATGGCCGAGGAGGGGGACGGCTCCAGTGCACCCCGCACGCCCATCACTCCCGGCGCCACCTCGCTCTGCTCCTTCAGCAGCTCCCGGTCGGGCTTCAGCCGCTGGCCCCGGCGCCGTAAGAGGGAGTCGGTGGCCAAGATGAGCTTCCGGGCCGCGGCGGCGCTGGTGAAGGTAAAGGTGTGGGTGAGGCGGACTGGGGCCCGGCCGGAGCTCCGGGGCCTTCCAGCATGGCTGGTGGGGAACCCCTGGCCAGGGAGGGGCCGTTTGGCAGGGGCCGAGGGCCCAGCTGCCCTCAGGCTCGCCTGTGGGGGTGGCTGGCTTCTCTCTGTACAGAGGGGCTCCTGGGAGACCGGCGTGCAGCCGCTGTGTGGCCTGTGGTCCGGGCCGGTCGCCTGGGCCCTCCAGATGGTTTGGCCTGCAACTCCCGTCTTAACTCACTCGTGGCTCCTTTGTTGAAGGCCAATGGGAATCGTGGGCCAAAACATCTGGAGGGTGGCAGGCCGCCCAGCCCTGGTCAATGTTCTGGCACTCTGGGCGCTTTAAGCTGGAGCCCAGGTGCCGCATGGCGAAGCAGAGGGACCCCCTCCATGTGAGGCTCTTCTTTCCCAAAGAGCGATGGGATGGGAGGGCTGCCTTTGGACAGGGTTCGGAAGCCACAGGGCGTTCTGAATGCTGCCGTCGGGACCGTGGTGCGGCGGGGAGGGCGGCTCAGGCAGCCCCGGGGCCCCTGTGTTTCACATACTGGGCAGAGCTGTGGCAGCCCCGTTCTGGTCCGGGGAGACGGGCTTGCCCGAGCAGCCTCTGTCGTGGGGTGCTCGCCTGCCCTCTCCTGCCCCTTGAGGAGGGCTCCCTCTGCCCGCGGCTGGTCTGGTGGGTGCGGAGCAGGTCATGGCGCTGCTCCTGGCCCACCCAGCGTCTCCCCTCCCTGGCAGGGCCGTTCCGTGAAGGAGGCTTCCCTGCGGCGGGCACGGCAGCGCAGCTTCACCCCGGCCAGCTTCCTGGAGGAGGACACCGTGGATTTCCCCGAGGAGCTGGACACGTCCTTCTTTGCGCGGGTAAGGGAGGAGGCGGCCATGGGGGGCGGGGAGAGCCTGCCGGGAGGCGGCGGCACGAGCCCTGGTGGCCAAGGGCCCTTCTTGGCCCCCCCTGAGCGGCCTCCCCCTGCTGTCCAGGAAGGGGCCCTGCACGAAGAACTCTCGACATTCCCTGATGAGGTCTTCGAGTCTCCCTCGGAAGCCGCCATCAGGGACATGGAAGTGAAGGCCCCACAGCCGCAGCCGGTCCTTGCAGGAGGGGCCTTGGACCGAAGCGAGCTGGAGAGGAGCCACCTGATGCTGTGAGTTGGCGGGGGGGCTGGGAGCAGCTGGCACCGAAAGGCCTCTTTGGCCAGCCGCCAGAGCCTCAGATTCCAAGGTCCCGCGTGCCGGACGCACTGCCCCGGCGGGCTTCTTGCCTCGGTTGGAAGCACCCGCCGGGACCCCACCCAGGAGTGGGCAGCGACCTCAGGGGCCTTGGTGGGGGCATCGCGGGGGGGAGTGCTTCCTTTGGGAGCCCCACATGCTGACCGGGCCACACCCTCCCAGCATGTGTGTGGGGATGAGGGGCAGCCACAGCTCTAGCTGCAGAGCCCACTGCGGCTGTGCTGGCACTGGCCGGCAGCAGAAGCCCTTGGACCGGGGTATTAGCAGCCCCATGTGGGGCGAACGGGGGTCCCGTGGCATGCAGAGCATGGGGACCACTTCCAGCCGGGCCCCAGCTCCCCCAGCCGCTCGCAGGCAGGGCTGAGCCCACCCCCTGCCGTTGCCTTGCAGCCCCCTGGAGCGCGGCTGGCGGAAGCAAAAGGAGGGGGTGGCGCCACAGCCCAGGGTGCGCCTGCGGCAGGAGGTGGTGAGCATGGGCCTGCAGCGGCGCGGCCAGCGCATCACCATGCCAGTGCGCAAGCTGTTCGCCAAGGAGAAGCGGCCCTACGGCCTGGGCATGGTGGGACGGCTGACCAACCGGACCTACCGGAAGCGCATCGACAGCTTCGTCAAGCAGCAGATCGAGGACATGGACGACCACCGGTGGGTGCTGCGGGAGGCGGGCCGGGCCGTCCTGTGGGCCGCGGCTGCGGCGGCACCGCTGGGCCAGTGCCCCACAGGCAGCCGCGGCCCTGCGCCATCTGCCTCTCCTCTCCCCGCAGCCCCTTCTTCACCTACTGGCTCACCTTCGTGCATTCGCTGATCACCATCCTGGCAGTTTCCATCTATGGCATCGCCCCAGTGGGGTTTTCGCAGCACGAGAAGGTGGATTCGGTGAGTGGGGTGGCGTGGCCACCGAGACCGCGAGGCCGGCTGCCTGCTCCACCGCCCCTCGCCAAGAAGCCCTTTCTGTGTTGGCAGGTCCTGCGAAACCGTGGGGTGTATGAGAACGTCAAGTATGCCCAGCAGGAGAACTTCTGGATCGGCCCCAGCTCGGTGAGGGCCTGCCTCAGGCCAGGGCGGCTGCACCGCGGGCGGGCTGTGGGGCTGCGTCCGGGCTGCGCGGTGGCCCGAGCGAGAAGCTGGGCGACACGGCAGCCACTGCCTCCCTCCTTCCAGGAAGCCCTCATCCACCTGGGCGCGAAGTTTGCCCCCTGCATGCGCCAGGACCAGCAGGTGCAGCACCTGATCGGCGCCGCCCGCGAGAAGGAGAAGCGCTCGGCCTGCTGTGTGCGCAACGACAAGTCAGGCTGCGTGCAGACGGCCGAGGAGGAGTGCTCGGTGAGTGCCTGCGTGCCTGGGGAGCCGGGCCCCTGGGGTCTCTGGGGTCTCATGGCGGAAGGGTCTGTGCCCCCGGCCCATCTCCCTCGCCCACTCGCGCTCCTGTCCTTTGCAGTCCACGCTGGCTGTGTGGGTGAAGTGGCCGGAGCACCCCAGCGCCCCCCTGCTGGCGGCAGACAAGCGTCAGTTTGGCTCTGTGTGTCATCAGGACCCCCGGTAGGTGCTGCGGGCTGGCAGCTCATCCCACCCCAGCCCGCCTCCAGCTTGCCTGGCCCAGGGGCGAGCGTGGCCCCGGCCCCAGGCATGGCCTCCCGTCGCCCAGCTTTGCTCTGACTGGCCAGCACGTGGCTGCGAGAGGAGGACTGCCTGGCCCACAGGGATGCCAGACGCTGCTGCCCCGCTCTGGCCCGGCTGGTCCACATGGACTGGCAGCAGCAGCTCTCCAAGGCTCGGGGGTGGGGGTGAGGGGCTGCATGCCAAAGAGGCCCCCTCACCAAACCCAGGCCCTTCCTGGAGGAACAGGGCGGGGCTCGGGCTGTCAGTGCAGCGCTTCAGCCGCTTGACCACTCTGGCAGGCCTCCTCAGAGCACTGCTGGACCCTTTCCCCCACAGGGTGTGTGAGCAGCCGGCCTCCATGGACCCCCACGAGTGGCCTGACGACATCACTAAGTGGCCCGTAAGTCTGGGCTGCAGGAGGCAGCCGGGGGACACGGAGGCCCTCAAGCGCCGGGGCATGCCTCGCGCTCCCCCTGCTGGGGGGCTCAAAAGCGGCTGCCCTCTGGATCAGAGAGGGTCCGGCTCGCCCGCCTGCCCCCCCCACGCCCACTGCTCTGAGCTGCCCCTTCCCGCCCAGATGGGGGCCCGACAGAATTGGGGCCCGCGCCTGCCGGGGCCCGCGCTTCCTCCCCAGGCAGCCTGGCGGCAGGGCTGGGGGCTCCGCCTCGCCCAGGTGGGTTGGGGGAGGCGAGGCGCCTCCCCTTGGCTCCAGCCTGCCTCTTTTCCAGATCTGCACCAAAAACAGCGCTGGGAACTACACCAACCACATGCACATGGACTGCGTGATCACGGGCCGCCCCTGCTGCGTCGGAACCAAGGGGAGGTAGGTGGGCCGCCAGGGGCCCAGCGCAGGGCCAGAGTGACTGGACCGGAGCCCCCGCCTGGCTCTCTGCTGGGGGCAGGCAGGCTGGCTCCCCCCCCCGAGCGTCGCGCCTTCGCTGTTCCCGCAAGCCCTTGCCGGTGCTCGGAGCGGTGGTGCGCTTCATGCCTGTCGGTCAGGCCTGGCCCCGCAGCCCCCTTTGCACCCCGTTATCCCGCCGGGTCCCCTCGCCGCTGGATGCTGCCCGACCCCCGTCCTCGCCCCCAGCGGCCCAGGTGCCCCGCCTGACCCCCCTGCTCTCTGGCTTCTCTCCCCCAGGTGTGAGATAACCTCGCGGGAATACTGCACCTTCATGCATGGCTATTTCCACGAGGAGGCCACCCTGTGCTCCCAGGTACCACGCGCTGCCTGCCCCGCGCAGGGCTGGGCTGCCTCCGGGGCCGCCAGTGCTGAGCCACTGCTCTGCCTCCCCAGGTGCACTGCATGGACGACGTCTGTGGCCTCCTGCCCTTCCTCAACCCCGAGGTCCCAGACCAGGTGTACCGCCTCTGGCTGTCGCTTTTCCTGCACGCGGGGTAAGGCTGGGCTGGGGCCCCAAGCGGGGAGCGGGCGAGGCCAGTGGGGGCCGCAACAGGCTCTGCGCCCAGGGCTGGGCCGTGGGTCACACCGGTGGAGGAGGAAGGGCCGGTGCTGGCTCCTCGTCGCTCAGCAGCCCCTTTCTGGCCGGGCAGGATCCTGCACTGCCTGGTCTCAGTGTGTTTCCAGATGACGATCCTGCGGGACCTGGAGAAGCTGGCTGGCTGGCACCGCATCGCCATCATCTACCTACTCAGCGGCATCACGGGCAACCTGGCCAGCGCCATCTTCCTGCCCTACCGGGCCGAGGTGGGTCTGGCAGGCGGCCTGGCACAGCAGGGGCCTGGGCAAGGCTGGCAGGGCTCCTTTTCCTATGGGGACAGTCCCACAGCAGACTGAGGCTCATGGCAGAATGACAGCGCCCCCATGGCGCATGTGGAAAGCCACGGGTGCCACCCCCAGACCCCTGCCTGAACCCTTGGAGAGCCGCCCGTTCCAGTGGAGGCAGGGCGGGCAGCGGCTGGCACGCACCCGCTTTGATGGAGCTCGGCTCCTGCCCCCTCCCGGGAGGCTGCCAGCACCGGCTCTCCCCCCTGGGCCCCCACTGCCGCCTAACCGGCGCCTTGCTTGCTGCCACCCAGGTCGGCCCCGCAGGGTCGCAGTTCGGCATCCTGGCCTGCCTCTTCGTGGAGCTCTTCCAGAGCTGGCAGATCCTGGCCCGGCCCTGGAGGGCCTTCCTGAAGCTGCTGGCCGTGGTGCTCTTCCTCTTCGCCTTTGGCCTCCTGCCCTGGATAGACAACTTTGCCCACATCTGCGGCTTCGTCAGCGGCCTCTTCCTGTCCTTTGCCTTCCTGCCCTACATCAGCTTCGGCCAGCGGGATCTATACCGGAAGCGCTGCCAGATTGTCCTCTCCCAGCTGGTCTTTGCCGGGCTGCTCTCGGGACTGGTTGTCCTGTTCTACTTCTACCCCTTCCGCTGCGCGTGGTGCGAATACCTCACCTGCCTGCCCTTCACAGACAAGTTCTGTGAGAAGTATGACTTGGATGCGCAGCTCCACTGAGCAGCCAAGGGCCACCCTCCGCAGGGGCCTGCCTCTGGCTGCCCCTGTGCTGCTTTACCCCATAGACCGGGACATTTCTGCAAACAGGAGGTCTGTCTGTGCCTTGTTCAATTTTACTGAACCTTTTCTGCTACTGCATTTTTATTACGCGAGTCTCAATACGATCTTTTTAACAGGAGCTGTTACGTGTTGCCCAGGTGGTGATTAAACACACAGGTAGCGTTTTAGCTACGTTTACAGAAAATCTCTGGGTCCTTCTGATTGTGCCGTTGCCAACCGGACCTCTTCCGCACAGGGCAGGATGGCCCGGTCCCCACCTCAAGGAGCCTCACACCCTCCCTTGGCCTCGCAGCTCCTGTGAAACTTGGGGTGAAGAAGGGGCCGGGCAGGACGGGGTACGGGCCTCCTGGGCTGAAACAGCCGCACTCTGCCAGGCTACCGTGTGCTGGGAATGGCTGCGGGACTGAGGCGGACCTGGAGTGGAGGCCGGGGCGTCGTAGAGATGAACCTGCAGCCCGGGGAGCTGGGCCTTCACGTGGGGCTGGAACACCTCCAGGCTCCCTGCTGCGGCCCACCCCCAACCCCTCAGCATCCCAGTGGATGCCTGGCCCTGGGAATGAGAGCAACTTCTCACCATCGCAGCACTTTATTGTGGAGGCCGGAGAGCAGGCTGCCTGGGGGACAGTTGCTTCCGAGGGACTGCTCCCCAGGGAGAGCTGCTGCTCCCCACACCATTCGTCCCTTCCAGCCACCCCACTTCCCCAGCCCCACAGAGTCTCTGTCAGGGCAGGGCGTGAGCGGTTCCAGGCCAGGCAAACAGCTATGCTTCCCTTTCCTTGCTCCTGCCCTGCGAGGGCCGCCGTGGCAGCCCTGATGATGCCCTGCAGGGCAAGGCTGTTGCGCTGCCTGCAACAGTGCGGGGCCTCCCAGGACGGTTTCTGCCCACTCAGCAACCCAGCCAGGCAAGGCTCTGCCAGCGTTGGGGCCCACCTGAAAGGAAAGGCAGACACAAGCCAGTCACACCCAGAGGCCTCAGGCTTCCAGCTTTTATTTGAATTGTGCCCCAGGATCATAGGACAGGAGAGCTGGAAGGGCTTACAAGACCATCGAGCCAAACTCCCTGCTCGGGCGGAAGATCCAGTCTTGACTGATACTCAAGCTTGCATTCAGAGCCTGTGCAAGGAAAAAGGCCTGGCTTTTGGAAGCCACCTCAGACAGACCCTGGAGGCTGCAAAGGGCGCCTTGTGATGCTGCTACATCATCCAAGGTGAGTTCACTGCCAAACGGCACCCTTGCATGCTGCCCCAGCGCCTGGCGATTCTCTCTCAAGTCCAGGAGCAGTGTCTGGCTGCAGACGGACCATTTCATGCTGCCGGTTGCTGAGCAGAGAAAGCCCCAAATACCGGCTCAGTGTGCAGCCTCTGGCACCCGACTAAGCAGGTTCTCGCAAGACATCTCGCCTAGTTCAGCGTCGGTTTCTTAGCAACCTCAGGAAAGGGCTCAAAGCCTTGGATAGCCCAGGATGCTGCACAGACGACGCAGTCTGGGGAAGACGCCCATGCCCTGCCTGAGCTCTATGCAGAGCCGAGAGTCACTGAGAAGCAGGCAAGCCCGAGAATGGGGCCGGTCAGCCGAAGACCCGGAAAGGAGGATGGGTATTTTGGCACTTGCCTGGCAGTTCATTTCCGGAGTTTCTTGATGAAGTTGACTTCGTCCCGGTTCCTGATGCCATACCTAAAAACAGCATCATGCACATCATTCTTACGCCAAGTGCAACTTCCAACCAGTTTCCACCTTGCAGCTGACTCGGCTCAGGGGCCAGGGCAAGCGGTGCCAGATCAGACAAAAGGCCTCTCCAGTCTGGCATGGCCTGCCAGGCGCCCCAACGCGAAGCCCATGGGCAGCAACAGAGCTCCGCGGCACCCTCCCACCCGCCGCCAAGCAGCGAATGCGCACCGGCACGTTGCAGCTGGTCCCGGAGGTGCCATGGTGCCACCCTGGCCTAGGCAGCCTTCATTCCCCATAACTTTGGTTGCCATCGTACAGCTTGTACCACTCGGGCGGATCCAGCCCCTTTCCGTATCGCCCCAGTCCCGGGCCTGCCTGCTGCTGGCTGCAGCCCTTGCTAAGCAGAGGCACTTTTTCACAACTCGGCTGCTTTTTCCTAGGAATGCTGGGAACTGCCGCAGCCTGCTTCAGGTCTGCAGCCTATCCAGGCAACAGCGACACTCTGGGGCTTAGGCCCCTCCCTAGCCACCCCTGAAGGGGTGCAGGGGTTAAGCCCGAGACCTTTCGCACGCTGGGTGAGGGATTTCTGAGCTATGGCACGTGTGTCGCAGGAGGGGTGTTAGCATCGCACGATCTCCTGGCCCCATCTTCTCCCAAGAGGCAGGCCGTGCTGTGCCAGTCCTGGGGGTGAGGGATCCCTTTCGCGGCTGTCGCATCTCTCCCTCCTTCCCCACAAATCCCCCAGCTGCACTGTCTCAGTGGCGCGGCCCCAAAGCCCCCCCCCGCCTCCTGGAAACTCACTCTCTGAGCTTCTTCCTGTCATCTGTCAGCTTCTCTGCCCCAAAGGTTAAGCTGTACGTCCGCCACACATACCTCCTGCGAGAAAAGAGTTTGGGGCTTAGAGAAAGAGCAGGAGCAGCAGCTGTGCGAAGCGGGGCACTTTCCACTGCGAGAGCCCTGTTCCTTCTGGCATGCATCCCTCTGCGGGGAGAGGGGGCTGGAGCGCCCTGCTGCCAGCACACGTGCAGGCTGCCCTCTTCCACTCACCAGCTTATGTGCTGGATGCCTCCTTCCCGTTCCTGCTTCAGCTGCACAAACCGCTGGATGGCTTTTTTCAAGTCCAAGACGCTGGCATTCTGCACCACCACCACGGCTGGGGAGGAACGGCAAGGCAGCGGCCATTACAGCCCACCCCACTTCCTTCTGCCTGCAGACACTGGCCTACTCTGTGGGGCACTGGGATTTCCATTTCTCCCCGGGGGGAGCAGCAGCACCGACTGAAGAGCGGCTGCCAGAAAGCTGTTCCTCCTCCGGAGCAGGAGATCCAGGGCCCTCTTCCAGCCTTGGCGGCGGCCAAAGGCCAGGAAGCTGCTGCCGGGGGATGCGGGGGGCAGGCGGACTCACGCATGGGGTCCTCGGGGGCGTCGGCCCTGCGCACGCGCACCGTCATGGCCTGGCCGTACTCGAGCGCCACCTGCGAGCCGATCTCCTCGGGAGTCACCTGCAAGAGGGCAGGGCGGAGGCAGCCGGAGGGCCGGTGAGTGGCAGGCGCCGCCCACGCCCCTCCCTCCTCGCGCACGCGCGCGGCCTACCTGGGCGGGGAGATCGCAGAGCAGCGGGTCCCTGACGAGGCGCGCCAGTCCGGCTTGCCACCGCGCCAGCACCTGCGCGTGCGCTGCTTCCGCCAGCTCCGCCTCGGCCGCCGCCATCGAGGCAGGGTGGGCCTTGCGCAGAGGGAAGCGGAACCGGCGGCGGCGGCGACGGACGGGCGGCGATGCTTCTCTTCTGCCCGGCCTGCGGGAACGTGCTGGTGGCCGAAGAGGGCGCGCGCTGCCACCGCTTCGCCTGCACCACGTGCCCCTACGTGCGCAACGTCACGCGCAAGGTAGGCGGCCGCGAGGGGAGGGTGGAGGCGAGCGTGACGCGAGGCGCAGGCGCGCTGACGGCCGAGCATGTCTCTCCGTTGCCAGGTGACGAGCCGGCGTTACCCGAAGCTGAAGGAGGTGGACGACGTGCTGGGCGGGGCCGCGGCCTGGGAGAACGTCGACTCCACCGCAGGTACGGCGCCGTGGCGTGCCGTGGCGGGGCGGGGCGGGGCGGGCGTGGGCCTGGGCGGCCGGCGGGACCGGGCGCCGCCGCTCACCGCGCTCTCCGCCGCTCCCTGCAGAGCCGTGCCCCAAGTGCGAGCACCCGCGCGCCTACTTCATGCAGCTGCAGACGCGCTCGGCCGACGAGCCCATGACCACCTTCTACAAGTGCTGCAGCGCCCGCTGCGGGCACCGGTGGCGGGACTGAGCCGCGGAGGCCCCGCGGGAGGACGGGCAGCGCAGCACCAGCCCCCGCGGCGGCGAAGGCCAAGGCTTCCGGCTTCGGACGATCCCCCTGCTCAGAGGTAGCTTCGCTGTCGGCCAGTCCAATAAAGATACTCGCACCGCACCCGCCTGTGAAGCAAGTCCGGGCGGGGGGGGGGCGGGGGGGGCGGCGTCCGGCGCAGCCGGGAAGGGCTTCAGTTGCTCCCGCCGTTACGGTGCACGCGCGCCCCTCACCTTCTCAGCACCTCGCCCGGGCCGCCCGGTGCCTTCGCGGCTGCAGCAGGCCACGGGGGGGTGGGGGTGGAGCGGGAGGGGGGAGGGCCTGCCGGGGGTGCGGGGGAGCCCGCTCCTCTGCCCGGAGAGCCAGCCGCGGCCCCGCGCCAGCGGGAAGCCAGGCTGCCCTCAGGCCCGAATATGCCTGCGCTCTCCGTGCCGCTCCGAGGGAGGCCGGCCTGCCAAGAGCGAAGGGCGCCCCTCTGGCAGCCCCGGAGCCCAGAGGGACTCCTCAAAAATAAAAATGGGCCGTGGCCGCAGGCCAGCTGTTCGGGGGCAGAGAAAGGATGGCTGGGCTGGGTGGCGGCAGCAGGTGTGCCAAAGGGAGGGCGGCATTTGGGGTGCAGGCCCTACCTTTGCTCTTGGCCACATGGCTCGTCACCCTCATCAGCATCTTCTGCGAAATGGGTGTTTGCTGCATGGGCAGGTTCTCCTACTTCCCCCAGTAGCCAGTTTCTGGCAGAATCCAAATGTGCTCACCATATATTTATGGACTCTGGAGTTGACCGAACTCTGCAGGCCAGAGGGTTCCCCTCCGGGAAGAAGCGATGTAGGCAGCTGTTGGCACTACTTGCTCTCCCCTGATGGGGAGGGATCTGCTGGTTCTGGCTCACCTCAGACCGATTTATCTGGCCATGAGGGCTTCACCCTCTCCTTCAGGACAGTCCTATGCTTGTCTACTCAGGAGTGGGCCTTGCTGCCAGGAATATTTATTTGCCTTGATGCAGGGCAAGTGGACGTATTGAAGGTTTCTGATTAAGCTTTTTAACAATGGGGGAAGTGTGCAAGACAAGATACATGACCCACCCTCTCCCTGCTTCATGGCCACCATCCAGTCCAAGTCTAGCTGCAGCAGGGAGGGGGATGCTAGTGGCCCCGCAGGCATCGGGAAGAGGCACTGTCTTGGAAGCACCATGTTCCACCAGTAGCTTTCATTATCTGCACTGTCTGTTATGCCTCTCTGCTGTCCCACCCCAAACGTTCAGCACCGGTACTCTTGAAAGGACATCTGTGTGCTGGTGAGGAAAAGGGCATGCGGGCCAGTCAGTCCTGGGGGCAGAACTGGATCGAGCCAAAAAACACCCCCACTCAGCCAGAGCCACGCAGGCCCATCACTTTATTTCACAAAAGCGCAACATGCCACTGTCACTGTACAAGAGCCCTCACAGGTGGGCCATCTGCACCCACTTGTTCCAGTTAAGTTCATAGGGGAAGACCCTGCCAATTTTCAAGGTGCAGTCAATGGTGGGCTCATAGAAGACAGTCGGAGTGGTGCTCAGTCTGGGGTTGGTGAGCACCTGCTCTGGTTCAGGTCTGGAGAAGAGGGAGGTTGGGCTCTGCTTCTCCAAGTGGAGCTTCCTAATGCAGCCCAGCGATTCGAGGCCCTGTTGGAGAGAGAAGAACGCTTCCTGTGTTTGTGTAGAGGGCACATGGAGAGCTCTGTCCCCCCGTGCTGCCAACAACCCATTGCCTGTGTGCAGAGCGTTGGGAGAAAAGCTCCCCACCCCACAGGCAAGCGAGGAGGCTGGCCCAGCCCTGGGCGGCCCGGCACACCTGCAGAATCTCCTGGAGAGCCACGGGCTGCAGGACCCCTGCGTAGTGGTGATGCAGGGCCACTTCAGGGATGCCGGGCTTGGTCATGATGTGGCAGAGCACCCCTTCCATGATGCCCTTACAGACCGGTTTGTTCAGGCTGCCATCCACAATGCGCCACGGCCGCGCCACAAAGCAGACACTTCCTCCGACTCTGTGAAGGAAAGGAATTGGTTCAAGGAGTGTACGGGTGCAACTGGACGAGGCCGCTCTTGGCATGAGTGAGGCATTGCTATACCTCACACTCGCACTCACCTCCCCTTTTCAGCCTGCGATGCCTTCCCACTAGAACATCCTAGAGTGAAGAGCAAAGACAATCAGCCTCAAAAGCAGAACAGTGAGAATCCATTCCACGTCTCCCAAATGCTGCGCTGTGGTAGCTGCACATGGCTGTGCCCAAACGGCACGTGAGGTGCAGAGCGGAGGAGGACAAGGCTAGGTAGCCAGCGGGGCAACTGGCCACCAGAAAGGAGCACGTTTACAGCCACAAAGCGGGGGGGGGGCAGCTCAGGATGAGCCATCTGGCCTGCCGTTTTGCGTAGCCCTGTGGAGTGCCTGAGCCATCCCCCTGGAGGAGGCAGAGTGGCCCACACAGCGAGGGGGCTGAAGGGTCTTCCGTGTCTCTCCCAGCGATCCGGGAGCCGCTCCTGTTTTGCCTGGCCGTGTGACCTTCCACGTGGCGCTCTGTGGCATTCCCCACACGTACCACTGGATGGGTCCGCCCCGCATGACTCCTCAAGAGAATTCCCGCAGTCCGGGGGTTCCTGGCTGCTCGGCACCGCGGCCTCTTCCCAGCAAGGCGGGGCCGCCTCCTCACCCGCAGCGGCCACACCGCAGCCCCCTGCGGCAGCCGGCTCTTGCGCAAGCGCTCTTTCCTGCACCTTCCCGAGAGTCCCCGCCCCGCCACTGTCCAGGACGTGACGGTCTGCTCCTTCTGACGAGCACTCGAGGCTTTGGGAGGCGTCCGCATGCAGAGCCGCCGCCTCTTCCTCGGCGGTCTTGAGCCTCTTCCTTGCCGGTTCTTCCTCTGCCAAAGCAGGCGAGGCAGAGCGTCTGAGTCCAAGCCGCTCCCCCTCTGCTCCCTCCTCCCCTGGCTTAACAGGGCCTCTCGGGACGACCGGGTCTTGGCCTTCTGGACTTTCCCCGTCGTCCTCTTTGAGACACACGGAGTGCAACAGCCACGGGCCAGCAAACCTCCTGGCTACCAGTCGCGTGGTGTGGCCCCCCACTTCCAGCACCTGCTCCTGGTCGAGGAGGTCCTGGGAGTTGGTGGGGAGAGAAGCGCACTGAGTTTCGGCAGCGGGTGAAGAATATCCCGGGCAGCCTAGCAAGCTTGCTCGGGCCCGCTGTCCCGCTCCCCGATCACCAACCTGAAGGTACTGCTCGAGGACCCGTGTGCGATCCGTGCCAGCCTCTTCATAGTGCTGGAACTGCCTGGTGAGGCCCGCACGGCCCACCCCGAAATGCGAGGCGGCCTCAATGGCACTGAGGATTTCGAGCACAGCAGCAGCATCCCCTGGGCTGTACTGGGAATTTTCCAGGGCCTGAAGAGGACACTGAGTCCCATCCCCCTCTTGTTCCCGGACACACAGACGCCTGGTGAAGGAGCTGGGGAGACAGGAGGCTCCAACGGGCATGTTTTCCAGGTCTAACACATCTGCAAACACGACACTTGCATTCGTAAAAAACACACGGCAACCACCTGGCCAAGGACTCCGGCAGCCTGCTAGGCCACAGCCGGCGGCCCCAGTATCCCTCACCCTCTCAGTCAACTGCAGCAGGGATGATCTGGCAGGCACGGCCAGGAGGCCCTCCCTCCCTGGCCTGCCGGGCTGGGGACCAACCTTGGGCCAGGAGGCCACCCGGGGCAGGGCTCTCCCGCAGCTTCACCGCCACCTGGCAGGAGTTGACCACGATGTTGTCGGTGGGACTCAGGTTCCGTGTGCTGGCGATCCCAGGGGCGCAGCAGCCTCTCATGAGCAGGTAGTTGGTCTGTGAGGCCTGGCGCGCCTTCACCTCTATCTGCCGCTTGCCGGCCGGGCTCTCCTCTGTGTCATCCTCCTCCTCCTCCTCCTCCAGCACATCTTTCCCCAAGCTGCAAGAAGTGGACAGTGCCCGCCACATGACGATCAGGATCAAATGGCAGGCTCAACTGAGCATTTTGAGAATTAAAATTGAACGGGATACAAACACTCTTTTTTCAGAAGAGTGCGAAATTGCTCCCTTTCTCTATACTTTCCATCCTATCTATAAACAAGGCTGAGGTTTCACTGACCATGTTTGTATATATACTTTACAAAAAGCATCTGTCACATTTTCTTGCCAATCAATTACACAAAGAAGCCGAACATCTAAAAGCACAGCTGTGGCCTCCAGTCCTCCTCCATTCTCAGAAACTCAGAGCTCAGCTTCTTGCCTCGGCACTTCCCTTCCCTCTTGGATCTGTTGCGTTCTGGCCCTTAAGCCGTCTTTCTACTAGCACGTGTCTGTTTTGGAAATTATCATTTAGTCTGCCTTGGGAAGAGGTGCCAACTGGCGCAAAACCTCTACTGCAGCTTGAAGCGTGCAAGACACTCGGGCCAGCCTGTGGTGCCTCGCCAGCAAACCAGGTCAGAGCAGGACCGGCCTCCTGTCCACGGTGCAGGCAAGATGCTCATCATTTGGGGGCAACTCTGGCCTGCCAGGACAGGAGCCGAGGGACAGGCACCCGCCTGAGCCAAGTACCTTTTGGTGACTTCATTCTCCACCATGGTGCTGTCTACCACCACTATCTGCTCAGGGATTGTCACGTCCACTGAGACCAGGCCGAGGGAGAAGAGGGCGAGGACGGCTGCGCAGTAACCGCCGGGCCCATCCAGAGGGAAGGTCACCATTCCAGAGGCAGCGGGATCCTCCTGGTCCTTGAAAGAAAAGCTGGAGGCCTGGTCCTGCTTCCCGGCTTCCTTCAGCTTCAAGAGGAACTGGTACGACTCGCTGCAGAGCGTGCTGGGAAACCGCCAGGTGAACACCCTGGGGAGACGGGGAGGCAGAGACCTGAGCGCTGTGCCTGCTCTGAGGCCCCGCTGGACACCAGCTCTTTGCCCGCCCGCGAGCTGAGCCTGGAGATGAGCTGGAGGCAAGAGCCAGGAAGCGCGCTCCCAGCTCGTGAAGGACGCATGGCCACCTGCTCACAGCTACCTCGCCCAAGCACAGCTCTGGCAGGGACTTGTGACAAGCCGCCACCGCAGGACCCACCCAGCAGGCTGGCCATGCCCGTCCGCTGCGGGCCCCGGCAGAGGGGGGGTGGCGTGTGCGGCACTGACCTGTAGTAGCTCTGGGAGAGCTGGTAGGACATTGGCACAAAGGGCAGCGCTCGGCTTTTCTTTGGGCCTAGGCTGTGGTTGCCCCGGCGGCGGTTGACGAGGCTCTTCTTCTGGCAGTCCAGGAAAGCCTTCACCAGGATGTCATCCTGGTACTGCCGGTAGAGGCGGAAGGTCTGCCAACACAAGCGCCCCCCATCACAGCTCCAGAGCGTTGGCATCCCGGGCACCAGCGCCCGGCTGTCCCTTTTGATTGCTTCTGCCTCCCCGCTGCCTCCCCCACCCTTCCTCCATCCCCAAGGAGCATTAAGAGAGCATCTCGTGTGCTTCGGGGCCCTGCAGTGAGTTCTGAGGCAGCATCAGGGCTCCCTCTTCTGGCCAGAAACCGGAATGGCAGCCCTGGTGGTTGCAGGATGGGCCCACAGCCAATTGCAGACACCTGGGCTGTTGGGAGCACCGCCTGGGACAGCGATGGCGACCCTTTTTGAGAGTCCGAAACTGCAACCGAAAACCCACTCATTTCTCGCAAAGTGCCAACACTGCAATAAAACCTGAAAACTGAGGTTTTAGGTTAGAAAAAACAACCCACAGCCAGTTCAAGCAAATATATAGATTTCCTTGGCAGCGCACTGACCGGACATGCGAAAACTCGGACAAGTCGTGGCTAAGGAGTCGCGGCTCGTGACGTCATCCCCTGGCACCACTACTTCTTCCCGAGCGTGCGCATGGCCCCCGTGTGCGCTGTTATCTGACGCTCGGCTGCTGGGGCCATGCTGCGAACCTGTCTTGAACGCCTCTGCTACCCTTACTTGCAGCTCACTCAGAGGTCTGCCCTCAGTAAACCCCTGCACTGTTGTGCCCCTTTTGCAGCATGAGGGGCTGGAAAGGAGCTCACAGCACTGCAGAGAAGGGTCTTTTTGAGCCAGCCTGGGCGCTTCCTTGGGCCACACCTCAGCAGACTGGCCAGACAGGAGTCGCCTACCTGGAATGACTGGCAGGACTTCATCTGGTTGTTGGAGAGGGCCAGAGTGCTCTGGATCAGGTTCTGTAGCACGAGGATGTGGATATCGGTGATGCTGAGAGGAAGAAGAGTTGGGATGTTCTCAGTCCACCCCTAGCCCTTCGCCAGCCCCAGGACATGCTCAGCTCCCCACTCCCTGCCATGCCTGAGAGGCAGGGCGCCAGGAGTGCCAAGCACCCACTGAGCCCCGTGCACACAAACTGCCCCCAAGGGCCAATGCCTGTTCCCAGCGGGAAGACAAGGGCTGCTTTTGAGAGGCTCACACATGTTCAGTGCCAAACAACGACCGCAGCAGTGCCAGGATTGCCTCCCCAGAAGTTGGACACTAAAACATTCCTGTTTTCAGAAGTGTCTGCTTTTGCTGCAACAGAGCTGGATCCGGAGACGGCATGTGCGCATTCGTAAAGGAAAGTGCAGGCATTTGCAAGCAGGACCTGCATCCTCCTCTAAACGGGAAACTGAGCACAGACCAAGGAAGCGATTTTCATTCTTGCAGTGTGACCCAAGTGAGGGAGGCAGGACGGAAGGGGGCAAGCTGGGAGCCCTCCCTGCACATGGCCCCACGGCCAGCTGGGGCCTCCTCCTACCATCCCCCGGGCACAGTGATCTTCACTGCAAATGGCTCATGGCAAATCGATGGGAAGTAGGGAGGGCAGCAGCCGGCACCGGACGGGGGGCAGAGCCTCACCTGGTGAGCACATCCTCCTTCCCGGCTTGGCTGGCTTCACCTCCAATGGCCAGAACGTGGAATCTGGAGGACAAGGCCAGGTTACGGTGGGCGTGAGAGAGCTGGGCCCCCGACTTCCCGTGAAAGAGCACATGAAGGGAGGGGGGCTCAAACGCATCTTGCCTCTAAGCTGAGGCAGCATCCCGAACTCAATCCGGTCAGAGCCCCCCCCCCCCCCCCCCGGCCGCCTCAGTCTCTGGCACACCCCACAGCGGGCCGAGAGGCCGAGGCTTTTGGACGGGACTCAAAAGAGGGCCACTGTGGGAGGTACCTGCGGAAAAGCTCCTCCAGCGTGTCTGGAATGGCAGGCTTTGGATTTCCCAGCGCTGAGCTGAACTTCTCCTTCAGCCTTTCCACGAATTCCTTAAACTCTTCGGCGCAAACCTTTTAGCACGAGAGCTGGAGGTCGTAACGCAAACCCTACAGCGCGCACAGGCCATTTACCTATTCTAAGCTTTTCTACCCCGTCTCTGTCCAAGACAGATCTCACAGTGGCTTACAAAACTAAAAATGTAACAGCACGTTAGATAACATGATAAATATACACTAAAAACAGTTCTGTATTATATAGTAAAGCCAATCAACCATTAAAATCCTGGGTAAATTAAAAGGTTTTGGCCTGGCACCAAAATGAATAAAGCGTTGGCACCAGGTGCACCTCTCTGAGGCGCAGAGTCCACAGCCTGGGCGCTAGCACAGAAAGACCCTTCCCTGGGTAGCCACTCTTCTCACGTCTCTCAGAGAAAGCTCCCGGAGAAGGAAAGCCAGAACACCCCCAGCACCACCCCCTGGAATTGGCTGGCCAAGCAGGAGCAGGACCACTGCAAAGCAGTGCCCCCAGCCCCTGCTCGGCCTCCCATCCAGGAGGCCCAGAAGCCCCAAGAGGGACACACTGCCCTGTCCTCGCCTGGCAAAGGTCACCCCACAGGGTGACCGAGGCAGCTTGTGTCCGTGTCCCAAGACCAGGCCTGGAACCGGACTGGAATGGCTCCTGGCGGGTGTAACATAGCAGCGGGCCACCCCAGGGGCTTCTACCCAAGGGCCTCGCTCAAGGCGGACCCCCTTCTGGGAGAAAATGGCACAGCGCCCCATAAGCCACAGCTCCCGCTCCTGCCCGCTCTGTCAGGGAACCACTCACCTTGGGGTCCTGGTAGTTGGCCTTCCTGCGCATGAAGTCGCCAGTGAGGGCTCTGTCCTGGTAGACTTCAGCGAGGCAGACCCTGTGGAAGACGCCCCTTGGCTCAGCCACGCTCTCGCCCCCCCTTGCGAGAGCTGAGACCCTCCCCTCCCAGGGCCACACCCTGCCAGCTGGGCAAGCAGAAGCCGTCCGGGCCGGCAGCCTGCTGTGTCCACCCGTCACTGGTCTGAAGGCCACACTGCAGACACCGAAGGCTGTGGCACCGAGGGGGCGAGACCAGTGCCGTGCCCTGGGGATGGGGAAGCGTCCGGGCCGGGCCGGGCCGGGCCGGGCCCTCACAGGTGGCTCTGGCAGACACTCCGGCTGCTCAGGCAGGACAGCAGGAGTGAGTCAGAGCGCCTGGCGGGAGGGAGGCAAGAGGCAGGCGGTCCCCTTCGGATGTGCACACACCACCCGGCAGTTCAGGCGTGGCAGGCTTCGAGGTGAGGAGAGGGCGAAAAGCTCACTTGTAATTGAGGTACGTCTGTGGATTCTTGACAATGTAGCGAGCTCGACGCCCGACAGAATGCGAAGTCTTGTCCAGCGATTCTTCGAAACTGGCATGCATGATGTCTCGGACCACTTGCCATGGGACAAACGGTCCCTTCACCTGGATCAGGACAAGAGACCAGGGAGTCGCGGCGCAGCCTGTGGGCCGGGCACCTGCGCCGTCCCCTGCAGGGTCGCTCCGTGGATGCCAACCCTCTGCGACTGGACAGCCCCCCGAGAAGGGTGGGTCGAACGGGAGTCCTGCACTTCGCAGGGGGGCCGGCCCCAATGGCCCTCTGGCCCCTGCCAGCCGCTCTGCTCTGCGATTCTGGTATCGGGATACGCCACTCTGCGCGATGAAGGCGCGGAAAGCTCCCTGCCCCGCCACGGCCCTCCCATCACCTTGGCATTGAGCACGTTGCTTGCGATCCGGCAGAGCATCAGCAGGCTGTCCTCCTGCACGGTCCACATGACGCGTAGGCGGGTCATCCTCTGCAGGGCGCTCTGGTCGGCTTCGTCGTGATAGCGCGGCCGTTTGCTCTTGTCCCCATCTTAAGAGCAGCCAGCAAGGGAAACCACATTTCATTAACGTGGAATTTGTGCTCCTGTCTCACATCTGAGTTCCTTGCAGACAAGAAGTTCCAGGCTGGGTGGGCACCCGTGAGGGCAACCTGATCACAGACAGCCACCCTGGCCACCCTGTGCCTGGCAAGCTGCCCGTAGGGCCCAAGCAAAGCAGAAAGGTGGGCAACTTTAGCAATTCTGAAGCTCTCAAAGCTGGAGAAGTATCCAAACTTGTTTAAGGCCCAAACTAGCTTGCGGGTTCTAAGAAAAATCACCGGGCAGATGAAGAGCTCGGCCCTCCTGTCTGATGAGCCCAGTGTAGCCATTACCTCTCTTATGCCTCCTTTTCTTGGTCGTCTTCACTATGTCCTTCTTAAGCCGCCTTCTCTTCTGGTTCTTCCCGCCCCGCACTCTCTCGCTTCTGTTTAGCATGGCTTCTTTTTCGACCTCCAAGTCTTCTTTTTGCACAGACGCTTCCGTGGCCACCAGTGAGTCAGCCCAAAGAGTTCCACCTGAGAGCCAACACAGAGATGAGCACAGAGCACCAGGAGCCCGACCTGAGAAGAGCGGGCAGCCGACGCACAGCTCTCAAAATCCCAGGAGGGAGGATGGCTCTATGGCACAAGACCAGCCATGAAGCACAAGGCAGCAGGGACAAGGCGGGCTGCAGGACCGGGCAGCAGGAGGTACTCCCCCTCGCCTGGCTGAGGACCGCGTCCATAGGTCACCCACTCTGCTCTTGAGCTCTTGGCCTTGCGCTGCGACACTCTCTGATGAAGCCGGAGCCAAACGATGCTCCAGTCAAGCCCTGCTTGGCGCAGGGTCACCAACAGGACAAGTCCTTCCAAGTCCTTGGACCGTCTCTGAAAGGGCTGCCAAGGGCCTCAAATGGGCAACCGGAGCAGTTCATGCCGCACAGAGAGGAAGCGGGCCTGCACCCCGCCTGCGCCTCCCACCCTGGGCCAGGAGGCACCAGCTGGCCATGACGTTGGCTTCACCCACGCCAGGCGCATGGGCTTCCTGAGGGCCACGGGGGAGCTGTCCATGCCCAGCCCACCCACAGCAAACTCCGCCACCTGTCTGGATGCTTCGTTCTTGAAACTCCCCCCCCCATCTGCCCGCACTTTGCCTCCTTACCTCTCACACCCAGTGGCAGCGCGCGCTTGGTCAGGAAGGTCTGGAGTCGCAGCGCATGCCCCGCTTCAGAAGCAGCGTTCTCCTAGCAGCAGAACAGAAAGGCTTCAGCAGAACAAAGGCTGGCGCACTCTGGGGCTGGAAAGCCAGCCACTTGGGAGGTTTGTGTCTTGTAGCCAGGGCCAGCAGCAGTCCAAAGTGCTGTCCGACTGAGAAATCGGAGCGCATGCCTCCGTTCGGTTTCAGCAGGGGACCGTTCCTAACGCGATGCAGGAGAGGCCTGGGAACAAGCAGTGTGGGGCCCGAGTGTGTAAAAGAGGTGCTTTGCGCTGTGCTGGGCCTACAGAAGCGTCCAAGGGTGACCACACTTGGGCAGTCCTCAGGACCACTCTCCATAGTGGCACCTTATCCTGGCCAAGAGATCAGTCTCCATACTGGAAAACTGAAGAACACACTTGCTGTCATGTGTGAAGCTGGCACACACACGTTCTTCTAATCATGTTCAGCTACCCGAGAACTTCTCTTTGAGAGAAGCCAGCTTCCCCGGGGCAGCAAGAAGTGTGTCCGAAAGGTAGACAGAATGGCCAAAAGCTGTTTCCCTCCACATTTACTTGCAAGCATGTAAATAATTTTACAGCAAGTGAGAAAGGAAGCAGTGAGAAAAGGTGCGCTTTCATTTTTGGTTACTGTTGAAGTGGTGAGTGGGAGAAGCAGATTTCAAAAGTTTTAGGGGGGAAACTCACCTTCCTCGTTTTGTTAATCATGTAACTCGTCCAAATCCAGTTGCGTTTTAAGTGAGCATAGAAACTGGAATCCAGGCCGCCTGCCCCCAGCCCATCTCCAGGGATCGAGCCAACGTCCTCCACCTCTCGGCGTCCCCTGCAGGAAGACAAATGCGAAGAAAGCAGCTCTGGGCACGAGCCCCCCAAGGCCAGCCTGGCTCCGTCGGGGTCTTTTGACTACAGAGACAGAGTTCAGCTACGCGTCTCTCCTACTATGGCACTGAGTCAGAGTCCATTCAGTTACAAAATGGCAGCTGGCCTCTCTGTCCAGGTCTCAGTTCTGAGTCTCAGCCTGGCTTTCCCCAGAGTCAGGACCACAGAGTGGATGCCTACACTCTCGCCTGCTTGTTCCCTCCTCTAGTGCCTCCTGCCAGATGAGGGCAAGTCTGAATCCAGGACAAGCCCCACCTCCACCAGAAGGCCCTCGCCACCAGGGCCTCGCCTTTACAGAGAGATCCCACCTCTGCCACAGCCACCTGCTGCGGCACCGACCAAGGAAAGGCCGACCTACGTGGTGTACTCCAGCATGGCACACTTGCGCTCCAGGTTGTGTCTGTGGGCCGCCGACTCTTGTTCCAGGGCAGCTTCCAGGGCAGTGCCGCTTTCGTCAGTGAGAGTCCCGCTCTTCCTGGCACGGGGATGGCGGACGATTCCTGGGCAACAAGGGGAGCCGTCAGCAGCAGCACTGCTGAGAATGCAAAGTGAGCAGTGAGCTGATGAAAGCAGTGGAACAGAGGAACGACAGGCAAGGTGGAAGAAGCCGCAAGAGGACAGAGTGGGATGGCGAGTGAAGAGCCCGTGAGGGCAGGAGGCCGGCCGCCCCGTCCTACCTAGTGGAGTATTCAGGCAGACGCACTGCAGGTCAAACCAGAAGTTTTCCACGTCTTGCAGCGTGCTCAGCATGTAGACGCGCCGGTCAAAGGGGCGGCTGCTCTGGGCCAGGTTGTAGTGCGGCTCGCAGACAGTGGTGTCCACAATCACAGCGTTTCTCTTCAGATAGACAAACACCTGCCGGACACACAGAAAACTCGCCTCAAAGGCCCTTTGCAGTTGCTGTTTTACATATTTAGTTACAGAAAAGTGGGACAGCCACTTTGAATTACCTGATCCTTTTCTTGAAATTTCTCTGTGGGGCCAAACTGCACCAACCCCATGTAACATAGCCGCTGCAGGCTTTCCACCACCGAAAAGATGTGCCTCCTGTAGCAACGCATTAAGGACTCGGCATCAAAGCGCTGCAGTGCCCTGCTCAGCCAGAGCTGCAGCTGCACGTGTAGGCTGATGTACCCCCTCACGGCAGCATGCCCTGCTCCGCACCGTGTCCCGTATGCAAACCGCCTGAACTGCGCTGCAGAGTCTCTCTGACCCTCCAGCCACCACTCGGGCAGGCCAAAAAACTAGAACATGCCACCATGGGTTCCTTTGATGTCCATCTTCAAGTTGCCAGCACTTCTTCGGAGTACCAGGGTACCCTCTTCAAGCTAGAGGAGTGACTCTCCTTCCTCCCCTTTTCTACCCGCAACTTCTGGGGACTTAAGGTGAAGAAGGAACACGCCAGGAACAAGCCTGCCTCCTGGACAGCTCAGGCAAGGGGCAAATCCTGCTTTGCGGAACTGCCTGGCTGCCTCTTTCGGGACCCCGTACTGGGGCTGTGCCGCGTTTTGGAACGGCATCCACACAGTGCTTCAGCCTGTAGAAGCCGCTCGTTCTTGGCATGTCCTCTGAGGGTTGTGACTTGCACCCTTGCTACCATCTGCACATACAGACACACAGAATCTCCTGCTTTGCAGGCTTCAGGAGTTCAGTCCCAGGAGTTCTATGAGATCCAAAATATCCAGTGGAAGACACCCCCCTCCGCCCACCCCAAGCAAGATACTTATTCTGAGTCTCTGGCTGGTCTTTCTGTGCCATCCCCTCTTGGGGACCATTTTCAGCAAACCAGCCCCACACCCTCTGGTAGCTCCTTTCAGAGGGATTTCTCATGCAGTCACAAGCCACCCTGGGAGCCATTTTGGGCCAAAAGGCAGGCTGCCGAATCTTACAAAAACAATTACAAGATACTATTTGGGACAAGACCAAAGTCTTGACAAAGCCAAATGCATTTCTCCTGCTCTGATACTCTTATCAAGCAGATCACCATTCCTTTTAAAAACATGCAACTGCTCCATTTCCCCCAGATGCTCAGGAAATTATTCCCACACTCTTAACATGACTCACACTTAGAATCCAGATTACTTGACTTGTGTCGTTCGGGGTTCCTCCCTTGCAAAGTTAAGTATGGTTTCTATTTTGAAACCCAACCCTTCAAAAATAATGAAAGATGTTCACCTCTTGTAAAGGAGTTTCTGTCGAATGGATCGTGGAAGATTTCTGATCAATGTGTGTTTCTTCAGGGGATGGTTTAAATAATCTTCCAGGTTATCTACCTGAAAGTGTTTTATATGAAATTACATTTTCGTGCAACGCAAGACTAGGGAATGTTCAACTCTTGCTACTAAAGTCATTCAGGCACTGTCTGCAACCGAGTGGCTGCCTCATACAGCAAAAGAAGAGCGGCAACCAGGCGCCTGCAGGGTCCATGGCCAGGTAATGCCTCAACTAGTGATGCCAGCGGCCTGCACCATTCAGGATTCACCCCCCGCCTGCACTGTGCCAGGTGCCTGCCCACAAGCTGACTGGAAGTGAAGGTGGGGCCTCTGCAGTCCCCGAGGGGCAGCTTTGTGGCAGCCCAGAGGGGTCCCCACCTGAGCCTCCCCCCTGCACAGGCACCTTGTAGCTGACTTGCACGATCTGGACGAAGATGGAGAGCGGCAAGCAGAGGAGGATGTCGCTAACGAGAGCCCAGCCGTGGCCGAACTCCCTGTGGACAGGGAGCGGAGGGATGTGGCGCATCCACGACGCATCATCCACGTACACTGCAAAGGAAGGGAGCGCTGTAAAGGCCACAAACAGGATGCGGTGCAGCTGCTCTCTTCATTCCTGCACAGCACAGGCCAGCTCCACAGTGTCCGACCCCCTTGCAGGAAAGGACGTGCCACGTGCAAGTCCCACGGGACTGACCCCGAGGCTGCCCAGTGTCCAGAGGATGGCTTCTGGCCCCCCTGAGGAGCTCACAGAGGGTCTGGGAAACCCCCAGGGACTCCTGCCTTGCCCCCTTGCGGTGTTTGTCCCCGGCAGCCAACGTGGTACCTGCTTGATGAGCGAGCTCCGCCTCCCCTTCCGGCGCAGGGCAGCCAGGGCCTGGCAGGCACGGCCCTTCCGGCACTGCGTCTGCTGCTGCCCCGGCACTGCCCGCATCGAGGTTCACCGTGCCGCCCGCCGGCTCGTTGCTGCAGCTCGCCCTCCTCTGCGAGGCCTTCAGAGGATGCCCGTAAACCACATACCAGAGGAAAAGATGGGCAGTCTTTAAGCGAGGCATTTTGGGGAGAAAGCCGAGGGAACGTCCGAGACCTGGCACTGAAGAGAAGCAGAGCTCCTTGTCTGAACACATACCCACAGGAGCCACTGCTCGCCAAAGGCAACCTTGCGGCACGTTGGGAGGGGAGAAGAAAAGGGCCAGAGGCCTCCTGTACCTACGACGGGATGGTAGTTGAACTTTGCCGCATGCACCTTCTCCCCAGCCATCTCGCTTTTGCAAGGAGAGGAGCAGCCTTCCGTTTCCCTCAGAGGAGCCGCAACTCCAGACTCCTGGCTTCCCTCCTCCAGATGGTTCTGGGATGCCGGGGCCTGTGGCACCTTAATCCTGCCATTGGGAAGAAAGAGGAGGAGTTAGATCCTAGCTCTGGGAATCTGTCGGGCAGCTTCTGACAAGCTCCGCACTCCGACTGAACGTGCAGCCTCACCTCTTGCCTGGCTCCTCCCACTCTGCCCGGGAACCAGGAAAGGACAGCGGAGCCCGTGGGCGGCTGTCACGGGCTGGAGCCCAGCCCGGGGAGGGAGCGTGACCAACGGGAGGCGAGCCCCTCCCCTGGGGCGCCCCGGCCCCTGCAGTCTGCCTGCAACATGCCTGTTCACGGTACTCGAGTTGGAGATGCGGAAGCGCACTTGCTCGATGGCACTTTTCACCAGCGGGTCACCAGGATTCACCGAGGGATCCACAACGAACTCGACCTGTCAAAGGGGAAAGGGAGGAGTGAGCAGGGGCCGCTGGCCGTGAGCATGGAAGGCTCCACGGCCAGGTGCCCTTGCTCAGTTGAATCTAACGCCAGCCAGGCCCTCCACGCAGGGGGGCAGGCCCACTCCTGGGCCTTGTTCAAGTGTGGCAGACCCCTCCCGGTGGCTCCCAGGCCAGCAGCACACGCTCCTGTTGGAGAAGCCACTGCGGCTGCTCCAGACCTCCGCCCACCCGGTTCCTCCTGCTGAGCGGCAACAGCCCTCGAGGTCGTGAGAAAGGGCTGGGGAGGGGCTCTCTTGACCACTTAGCCGGGGGGCGAGAGCAACCCGCCTTCTGCAGACAGGGCGCACAGCCCCTCTGCCAAGCCCATGATTTGGGGGGTTGGGCTCGCTCCCCTCCCGGTGCATCTCCAAGCCAGCCACCTGCCTGGGCTCCGCTCCAGCACGTGCCCCAGAGGGTTCTGTGGGGCCAGGTACCTTTCTGCTGACTCCGTCCTGGATGACGGTGGTGCGATAGAGACGCAGCAGCCCTTCCCGGGAGAGCCGCTGCACGAGCCGGATGATGGACTTCTTGCAGCACTTGGTGGAGACCCCCTCCTGTTTCTCCTGATCCATGATCATTTTCTGAAGCCTGCAAGAAGGGAAATGCCCCTCAGCAGCAGCAGGAGGAGGAAGAGCCCCACTGCGCCAGGTCCTGCCCAGATTAGGGGGTGCCACTGTGGGGAGTGACCGGTTACGGCAGGGAGTTGCTGGCCAGCAGAGGCCCGGCCAGCAGATGCTCAGGCTGATTTGATGAGCAAAGGCTGAAAAGGCCATCAGGGACAGCAAACGGCAGTGAGGACACGGCATTCTGAAGCACCGTGTGGTGCTATCCAGGAAGCCTCCAGTCCGCCGTTTCGGCCCCAGACTCTGGCTGATTGGTCCTCGGCACCAGCCTCGAGAGCAAGAAAGCCAGCTTGCTGACAGTCCAGGCGCCCACAATGCCGGCCAGCTACTTACGCAAACAAGCTCTCAATCAGGCGCAAGTTTCGGACAGCCTCTATGATAAGGTTCCGGCGCTTCAGCAGGCGGTAGGTCTCATGCGAACGCTCAACCGTGGAAGTCCGTGAGCGCTTCTCTTTCTTTTCATCACAGCCCTTCTGCCAATGTGCCAGAAAGGAGGGAATCATGGGACCTGTTTTTGGCCAGGGGAGGCCCTGGTTCCTCCCACTCAGAGCCGACTGGCAGCCATGGCTCTCCGGAACTTCAGGTGAGACCTCGCCTCAGCCCTGCCCGGAGGCACTGCCGAGTGCATAACCCTCTGCAAGTGACGGCTGCCCCCCCCCCCCACAAACCAGGAAGCTGCATCTCTGATCCAGCCTGGGAATTCCACATGTACTTGCCACCTTGCAGGTCAGCAGCCCCCCGGAGACACCGCCTCGCTCTCTGTGGGCCAACCACCCAAAGCTAGCCCTGCTGTTTTCCCAACGGGGGAGCACCAAGCGGTGATGGTTGCGCCGAGTGGCACCTCCCAGCCGTCCACCATGCCATCTGCTAGGGAGGCATGGCAAGGCAGAGGCGGCTTCAGCAGCCGGGAAGGACAGCGCTCCACCCACCCTTCCGCCCCTGCCCTTGGAAAGCTGCATGCCCAACCACATGCAGATCACAAATGTGCAGGACTCTCACTTTGGGAGTGCTGAGCCTGACTTCCTCAACCAGAGTTGTGGCAGAGTCATCTTTAAAATGGGCGCAATTTGAGAGGCCGGCCTCCTGTTTTAGCAGATCCAAGGCAGAGTCCTCATCAGCTGCTGAGTGATCCAGAAGCTCCTCAGGGTCTTCAGGAGGACACGAGGGAGACAGCTTCCTTCTCAGAGTTGTTCGAGCTGCTGATTTCCTGGCTAGCATAAGAAGCAGCACAAGCCCTAAGCGAGGTGCAGCACCGAGCAATTCCTACAAGCTTTGCAACATCTGAGTAAGGGACTGAGCGCTTGCCAAGACCAGGGTTCTGCCACTCCTCGGCCATCTTATTTCATTTAATGGCAGGTGGCAAGAAAGCACAATTCCTCCGCCCCCCAAACCCCTCAGATCTGGAATAGTGAACATTACAGGGGAAGACTGAGCACTCGGAAGAGGTACCAACACTCCCCTCAGGACGTCTTCTGATTTCGGACCCTGTTCCAGAGTCAAGCGCTTTCCACAGGGCCACAAAATCAGCTTCTGCCCAGAGTGGTGTGGTCCTCGGAAATTAAAGTGGGCTAGGAAGCCCAACCTCGTCCTGACCCGGCGGAAGGTTTTGTGGCGGGGAAGGAACAGCAGTCCCCGGGACACAGCGACACGCTGCCGGGCTCCCCACCGCAGCAGAGGGCAGCCCTGCACAGCGGGGTGGGGGGGCACCAAGGCCGAACGGGATGCAGGCTTTCGGCTGACGAGCCCCGAACGCGTGAAATACGCCTGGCCGGCACAGCCTGTCAAAGCTCCTACCTTTCACTGGCGTTGACTGGCAGGGGCCAAAATGGAGCTGCTGCAGCTCCCCTGCACTGTCCTTGCCCAGCCGACCCGCCGCCTCCTCCTCCTCCTCCTCATTCTCCGATTCGGAAAGCAGTGCCACCGCCGCCTCCCCCATGTCCCCCGGAGAGAGGCCTTCCCCAGGCGAGGAGCCATCCTGTGCTGCGGGCACCACGCTGGCCATGGCCAGCTGCTCGCTCCGGGCCTTCTCGCGCTCAAACTGCCGGCTCAAGTCGCTCTCTTCCGCATAGGCACACGCGACGTACTTGGTGGTCCGCTGCCTGCCCTCGTCTTCCATGAATCCCTAAGGGCGAGTCAAGAGGGCCAAGCCATCCTTGTGGTCAGCATGTCCGGGACTCGGCCTGCCAGTTCCTCTTGCGGAAGGTCAAAGGAGGCAGAGAATCCATCCCCCAGCCTTTCAGAGCTTTGGCAGCGGGGGTGGAGGAGCCACGAAGTCCTACCTTGATTGCTTTGTACCTCTCCAAGAGGCGGCAGAGCATTCTGGCCTCCAGCTTCCCCACGTGCATGGCCGCCCGAAGTTCTGCCTGGGAAATGCCTTTGGTCCCCCAGCTTTCAACTGTGGCACAAGAGAAAGAACCTCAGGCCACTGGGTGGAAGCGAAAATACCCTCTGATATTCAGCAGACAACCCCTTTGACCAGGCACAGGTTTGTGAAGCACGGCCAACTGAATTCAGCATTTTATATCTTGAAAAAGGAAAACGTGTAGTTTTAGGACATTTTAATGTTTAGCCGCCCCGAACGATGCTGACACAGTTGTCTCCCAGCTGATCCCTGACACGCCACAAGGCTGCCCATGCTTCCACTGGAGAAGGCGAAGCAGCCTCCAAATCAGGCCAGCCAACTTTGGCAGACGAGAGCGAACGCCTTTCGAAGCTCCGAACACGTGGAGCCAAGCAGAGGCCGGCACTGCACAGAGGCCCGTCCGGCATCCAAGGGGCCCTTAGACCAGGGGAGAAGCACATGGCAGAACCACTCCTGCATTCTCAAGCAAGCCCTCCGCTGCCCAGCCAGGTTCACTATCGCTCCCGCTCAGACAGCCAGGCACCTCGACGTCAGAGAAGAGCCCGCTCCCACTGAGGGGGACCGCAGACAGACAGCTGCACCGCCAGAGGTGGGTTCCTTGCCCAGAATGCTGCAGAGGCCAATGGTTTGGCCCTGGTTATCACCAGCTCACTACCCTTACCAGACAAGCCAGATGCCAAAGCAGGCCCTCGACCCCATCTGGAAAATTCAGAATCCAGCAAAGCAAGGCAAAGCAAAGTCCTCTTGGCCCCACCCACATTTCAGAAGGGCAGCGAGTGACTGCTCATGCCTGCTGCCTGCAGCCAGCTGCTTCATTCTGCAGCCTGGCAGTGCCAGAGCCGCCCCAGACCGAGGTTTGCTGCTTGCAGCGTGCCCAGGCATGGCGGCTCAGCAGAAGGCTGGCTGGAGGGAGACCGTGGGCAGTGGCTCGACCTACTGAGTTCGTATGCTTGCGTCAGCATGTCTTTCTCGTACACGATGTCCACTGGCTGCACGGTCTTGGTGATCAGCTCTTCGTCGTCATCGTCACGGTACTCCTCCACCTTCTTCCGGAACGCCTTCACCAACTTCAGACAGCGCACCATGATGTCGGTCCCTTGGAGGGAGCGAACAAACAGGCCGGTTCGCCACGATCGGTGTATGCAAGTGGAGTCCAAGAAACGAGCACCAGCCGGAGAAGCAGGACTTGCCCGTGGAGACAGGCAGGCAGCTGCGGTGACAGCAGAGCCTGCCGCTGCTGCCCCGCCAGGCCTCGGAGCCCCCGAGGTGCCCTGGGACTTCCTTCTGCCAAGCAACAGATGTGCTCCAGCAGCACCGGCCACGGCCTGCCCCAGGGATCCCCCGTGGGTACTCGAGGCTGCAGGCACCTTTGCAACGCGGGCAAGGCCTCAGCTGGCTTCTTGTCAGCTCCATCGCCAGCGTAAGGCTGAAGGAGAGTGCATCCTTACCCTTCTTGGTTTTGAAAGGGCCTCCATCGGGGCAAACATCCCGTAATGGCACAGACACCATCTTGCCCAGCCCGGCATTCAGCATATACTGATAGAGGCGCTTGAAGGTCTTCTCACAGAGGCCCTGTGGTGGTGAGACAGGAAGGACAGCGGCAGTTCTGAGCCCAGCCCTGCTTCAGGCAGGCAGGCAGGCAGGCAGGCTCCTCTTTCCCGGCACTCCTGCCAAGGACTTTGCCTCCAATGAGGCGGGGGAAAGGCCCCGCTGCCAGAAGCTTCTGCAGAGCATTGCCCCCTTGCTCCAAATGCCCCTTCCCTGGCATGTGACCGGGACTGCAACAAGTGGCAAGAGTGCCAGTCAGAGCTGGCGCTTTTCAGTGCCATCTGTCTTGCTCCTGCATCATGCCGTCACTCGAATGGCGGCCTGCCTGCGAGGAGCTGCATGCAGGTGGGGGGAAGCTGGGAGCGTCCTCGGCAGCCCCATGTCCATGCCTTGGCATGTCTGTGGGTGGGTGATGTTGATGCCAGAGCGGCTTTTTTGCGGCTGCTGTTTTCTTACCCAACCACCACTAAAGTCTGCAAGGGGAACCTCCTTCTACCAGGTCATATTTTGGAAGAGCAACTTCCTGCCGGCATGTCTCACATTTTGCCGGCCTGGCAAAGTCTCCACCAAACCCTGTGACTCCCACCCTTGGTGCAGCTGGAATGGGATTATCACTATTACTGCTTATTTACTTTCTCTACGGCCCAGTCGCCAAAGCTCTGTGGGTGGTTTACAACAGCACATTAAAATGCAGTGTAAAATGCACCATATTAAAGCCTCATAAAAAGCCGGCTCTGTTGCTGCGATTCAGCCCAGATATCAAATCGCCAAAGTTCTGCCTGGTCATGGAGCCTGTGCCAAAGGTGGAGGACATCAGGGCCTGAATGGCCCCAAAGGCAGGCTCCACCTGATGCCCCTGCAGAGCCGATGATGAGAAATTCCAGTCCCTCAGAACCTTTAAGGCATGCTTCCAACTGGAGGCCTGACATCAAGGGGCACATATGCTCAGCTCACAGGCTTGGCCCCAGACAAGCTCAGGTGAACAGAAGAGCGGCCGGAAGCTCACCAGTTCCTCCCTGATGTTCCCCAGGGTTTCCATCTGACTTGGACGACTGCTCAACAGACTGGAGAGCTTCTCCATAAGGATATCGTATTTGCTTCTCCTGAAACCCAGGAAGCAACAACGGTCAGCAAATGTCAGCCGTTCCCCATAGACATGCACACAGACCAAGGCAATGCCTGCACTTCAGCCAAGTTGCCAGTTCAAGGGAAATGGAAGCGATGCAGCCAGAACTCCTGCAGTGTGTGTCCCTCCCACCACCGCTTTGGGCCAAGTTGCCAAGGCAGCAGATGAGGCTCTCCCACATTGTGTGTGCATCACAGCAGCTGTGTGAAGCTGCTTGGTCGCTATTCAACTGGGGAAGCCCCCCTGGGGGAAAGGGTTTCAAGCTGTTTCTTCCCATGCCATCTTCCCAGCCTGGACAATCCCACAGCACAGCTGCTCTTCTGTTTCTCTTTCCTGAGGACCGGGTGGGGCGGGTTGTGTGCAGGGGACTCCTGTGACAAGAAAGGAGCGGAATGCCCCCCGCCCAGTTCCACTTCCCTGAGCACCACATCGCCTTCCACCTGGCCTCGGGGACGCACCTGTCGATGTGGAAGCGGGTGAGGAGCAGGAGGATGGAGTGCTGCTGGGCGCCTGTTGGCAGCCTGATCACGTGGGACTGCATGGAGATGAGCCCGTTCCTGTTCAAAACCTTCCGGTGATAGTGAAGCTTCCCAGCATCTACCCTAGAGCGAGATGTCATTCTATTTCTATGGTGCCCCAAAGCTCTCTGGGCAGTCCACAACAGGGGCAACACAGTAAGAATCCCGCACAGCATTTAAATATGAAATGTAAGAAGCTGCAACAGCATCATCAAATTGACTTGCAAGGCCTGTGACAGAGTTGACAGTCCTCCAGGGCAATACAACAATGCAGAAGAGTCTCCACCTGGCACTCAAAGGATGTCGTGGTTGGTGCCAGGCAGGCCTCAGCGGGGAGCTGCTTCTCTGCATGGGGAGGGGGAGCATCAGGGAAAAGCCTAGTTTAGATCTAAATCTAGTTTAGAGACTAGCAGAGCAGGGATGACTGAAACTAAGCCAGACCTTCTCAGTGAGGGCATGGCTGGATCACCAACCAAAGTTGGTGGAAGGTACTCTGTACCTCCGAGCCGACCTGGGCCTGTAGGTGACTCAAGGAGCACCTCCAAGCTATAAATTTGCTCCTTAAACTGAAGCTCGACCCCGTCCAGAACAGGTTGAATTCCCTCCATCCAATCAGAAGAGCACCCACTAACAGCATCTCAGTTTTGCATGGACTGAGCTGAAGTCTGTTATCCCCCGTCCAGTCCATCGCTGCAGCTTGGACGTGCACTGGCCGAGCACATCCACATCCTCACCTGACCCTGATCCTGACCAGCGTCTGTGAATCAGGCTGGCTATGGCTCGGCGTCCCTAGAGGGAGCTCAGGTGGGGAACTGTCCCTGTCACCACATCAGATTGCTAAGGCGTATTTCCAAGCAAAGCAGCCGCTTGCCTCACACAGAAACAGCCACCATTATTCTGCCAACTATCTCAGTGACAACCAACCCCAGTCACTAACATCCACTTCTTATCCGCAGCCCACGCCATAAGCAGCCCTCCTCAGGCTGTCCATATCCAAGAGCCAGAACACGGATTTGTGCAAGACTGAACGGCACTCACTTAAAAGCGGCGCTGAGGTCTCTCTGGAGTTCTCCTTGCCAGCGAGCACGCCCCAGCCTCTCCAGGATGCAGTAAGAGAAGTCGGGCAGTTTCAGGTCCGGATCCCCTTCCCAGCCTATTAGGGTTCTGTGGCGCAGCACTGGGGAGGCCACGACAACCAGTTTCTCTCCCCAGCTGCAAAGCAAAAAGTAAAGGCAAGGAGGTTCTTTTCCAGGGCAATAGCTGGAAATGGTTGTGATCCATGAATCACAAGCGTCTTTGCTGTGTCAGCACTGCCATCTTTGAATTACTGAACCATCGCCTGTTTGAGCCGCTTATGTGCAAACACTAGCAAATGCTCACATCTTGTTTCATGAGATGTTCAAGCAATGGTCAACTGCTATTTCCCTCAGTGGAGGGTGAAGAAGGGAGGGTGAGGGGGCATCTCCATGTTGAGCAAGGCCTTGTCATCAAGGTCCCAGAAAAGGGGTGGGCCCCAAAACACACCAGGTAGAATGTCCAGCAACAACAGACTGGAGGAACACGTTCCTGGGCCCAGCTGTCATGGACGCCTCCACTGTTACTTCCTGCACACAGGGAAATACTAGTATTTGGGTGGCCACAACCTGCTTAAAACATTCTTCCAAAAACTGGTCTCACTTAACTGCTCATTGAAGAATTGCTCACTTCTGTGTAGACTCGAATGCAAGTCTACAGCGCTACACTCTCATCTTGCCCTTCTAGAGTAGCTTCTAAATGGATGTGCGGATCATGAATTCCCCTCCACCAGGGGTCAGGCATGCCACTGTACTTCACCCTTCCTTCCGCTTGTTCTTAATGCTCCTTGCACTAGTGGGCAAGGATCCACCACTGGAAGCATTCGTATTTCTTGTGCTTTTCTATTTTTTGCTTCACCTGCCCATTCTACAAGCATCTTTCCCCCAAAAAACATGTTTTTGGAAGATTTGATTTCCAAAGTCAATTAATTAAAAGTTACTCACTTCTCATAAGCTTCCACGTAAGTGCAACAGGGCTGCAAGTCCTTCGTCCTGACTTGATCGGTAATATCCAGCCTCTCATTAAAATACTGACATGAACCCTGAATGCCTTCACTGTTGTCTAAAAGCATATGCACCGGATAAATATCTTCTAAAGGCACTGGATCCCGCTTGGTCTCCAATATGCCCGTTTCAAGATCGATTTCCTCATACCTGAAACATAAAGCTTTTCTCAGACAACCCACCAGAGTTGCGACCATTTTAAAAGCGGATACCTATAGAAGCAAGATGCATGCATGCAGTATGGTCCTGATCGTTTACTCCGAAGCAAGTCTGGATGATTGCTACATATCGGAATCTTCTGATCGAGGCCCCGAAGAGAGAGCCACCGCCTTGCACGTCTAGCCGACACGGTGTGGCACTGAAGGCCACGTGGGGCTTGGACCACAACAGGTTCATGTTCCTACTCAGGGAGGTGGACACGTACTGGCCGAGTCACTCTCGCCCGATCTCCGATTTCACGCTGAGCCCCTCCTGAGGCTGGCCGAGGCTCACCCGCCTTCTCCCACCATGCGCCTCACCAGGACTAGAAGCTTGAGCTGGCTTTACTCGGAGCCTGCGCTTGTGAGTGCGCGGCAACCGCCGCCCCGCCCCCCTCCGTTCTCACCGATCGTAGAGGCGCAGCGGGGGGCGCGGCTCCGGGAGCAGGTAGAAGCAGAGCTCGGCGTGCCCGGCGAGCGTGGCCCAGATCAGCTGCCGGGCGGCGGGCTCCAGGGGCAGCGGGAAGGGCGGGACGCGGCTGCCCAGCCGCTCCCAGAGCGCGCCCAGCGTGATGCCGTCCAGGCCCTCCAGGGCCACCTCGTCCAGCGCCGCCCAGAGCGCCTCCATCCCCGGCGGCGGGCCCCGCGCATGCGCCCCTCCCTCCGGCTCGCTCCTCCGCCAGAGCGGGACGGCTGGCGCGCCGGAAATGACGCACAGTTAGCGCGCCCGCCGGCCGCGCGAGGTAACCACGGCAACCTCGCAACAAGCAGCGACGGGGCGAGGGCGGCGATGAGGAGGGCGGCGTGAGTGAGTCCGGCCAGCCGCGGCGCCTGGGCGAGCGCTGCTGGGCCGCCTGCCTGGCCAGGTAGGGCGCGTCGCGGCTCCCGCGTTCGCCCAGCGGGGAGCGGGCCTGCCCGGGCCGCGGTGCTGGCCGCCGCGCCCTGCACCGCCGGAGTCCCCCTGCAGGCGGAACGGGCAGGGGCTCGTTTCCTGGCCGGCGGGGGAGCCGCTGCAGGCGGCCTTCCGACGCCCGGAGGGCCTGAGGGCCTGACTGGCATCCCACCCCTCTTTAGCCCAAGGCGGGCGGGGAGAGAGGTTCTGGGCCCAGGAGCGGCAACGCCAGCGGGCCCGCCTCGCCTTCCAGGATGCGGGTTGCCGGGCCCTTTTGTCAGAGTCCCCATGAGCAAGGCTGGACGAGATTCTGTTTTCGGGCTAAGAGAGCCACCAACGGACTGGCAGAGGAGCAACTCTAGGTCACCTAGCGCAGCTAGACCAGGCCCCCATCGCCACCCGAAAAGCCGGGCATCAAGCCCACACGGGCATGACATTGACATTTGTTTTCAGCTGCAAAGGCAGCTGGTGGACGTTACGTAGAGAGCTGGCCGGGAGTGTTATGGTGGCACAAGTGGACTTGCAGCCAAGGGCAAGTCTGTCACAGAAGAGCAGACCAAAGGATGGGATGGCCTCTTTCCCGCCAAGTAGCTGGCTTGCAGCGGGGCAAGCCATGGAGGCCTTTCTAGCCAGGGCATAACACTGGACAGCAAGGACAGTTGGCATGCTGCCCAATTTGGCAAGTGTATCAATCCATCCTTTTCCATGGCTTTGGACTGCTGGCTGTCAGCTTCTGAAAATGGTCCTACCTAGGTGCCTACTAGGTATTTCCTGTAGGATGTACTTAGGTTGCAGTTAACAAACAGCTCAGACTCATCAACATTGCTCTTAATTTTCAAAATGATTCTTGGCATCTCAGGTTGTGTAGAGCATACTGAGACCCCAGAGCTGAGTTCATTGGTTTAGTGTTGGACTCCTAGACACATTTAGTATGAAATTAGTTCAGCTTAATGCAATGAGAGTTACTTCCAAGTAAAAATGCTCGGGATGATGCAGCATGGCAGTTTGAAAAGTCATGGGAAACCTGCAAACTTTTGTTCTGGTTTTGTATTTCAGGCTTAAGCTAAGGACATGGTGACAGATTTTGATGAAAAACATGATGAGCACATAGTATTGCTTCAGCAGAGAAACAGGTAGGCTGAAAGATGCCTGCTCACTGCAGGAACGGGCTTTGTGGGTCTTGGGCATCTACTCTACAGGCAACTGCACGGTCAGCATTGTATCCAGATAAGTCCTTGGTAGGAAAACATCTCAATCCTTGAGGGTCTATTTTATTTTCTGTCTTTGTGTGAGCAGAGACAGCAGGCATATATGCAGTTCCAATTTACTTCTGCTACAGACAAGAAAATGAAATTAGAAAGAAAGGTTCAGATTATAAAGCAGAACACTGCTTGGAATATAATTTTTAAACAGAAAAGTAATTTGTTTCTCAATAAAGCAAGAAGGAACAAATCCATGAACTGGTAGAAAAGCGAGCAGTAGATCAGGAATTTCTCATCCCAGCATAAGGAAGCATTGTCCCCTAGTACAAGCTATCAAGCAAAGGAGAGACCAGTTTCAGTAGATCACTTTCTCCTCTCCACCCACCTCCAAATTTAGGATGAATTTGAAAGTATTCCTAATGCAGATACGAGAGTGGGTGATAGGACCTCCATTATGTTTCCATCAAGATTTGGGGGAATTTGCAGCTAAATCCCTCATAATTGCTTTTCTGCTGAGATGCCATGACTTCTCCTGAGAGCTCCAGAAAAGAAAACAAGCAACCTGTCTCTTTTAGGATATTGAAACAACTCAAAAGGAAAGATCCCCTGCAGATCAAGCTAGAGCAGCTGGAGCAAGGATTTGCTCTCTATGTGAATGGTGCGAATTCAGAACTAAGTAACCATCGCAAGAAAGCCAACCCTCAGAACTCTTTCAGAGGAGACGTACGGACTGCAAGAGCCAACTGTAAGTTCCTCTGTAACTGCTGGAGTCAAACACCTTTGGATTCCTGGACCAGTGACAGAAAGTGGACACTGGTCGCTTCCACTCCACCCTCTCACACCTGCTGGCCCTGAGAATCTGGAGGAGGATGGCTGCTTGATATGCCATTGCATTTTGTATGAAACAGTAGTAGAGATTTAGGACCATACAGTACACATTGCTTAGATTTCAGCTGTTAAATTCCCCCAAGTTCACTCACTGGTTTTGCAAATTTGACATGTTACACGATTACGAGGAACCTAGAGCTGTTTTGCAAATTGGCTAAGCAAGGCTGGAGTCGTCCCATCCTGCATCATGCTGCATATAGGTGGATCCCTTTTTCTAGGCAACAGGGGGTTCTCCCACCTGCAATGAATGAAAGCGAAAGAACGAAAAGGACCCCTTTCCACTCGCAGTCTCTCTCAACAGGATTGCCACTCCCCCTAAATATCAAAGGAAAACTTTCCCTGCTTTGGTCCTCCTCTTCAATTATTTCTGTCCTCTTGTTGGGGTTAGAGCCAGGGTGGCTTAGCATGGGACTGGGACTCGGGTGACCCGCGTTCTAGTCCCTGGTCAGCCATGGAGCCAACTGGGTGTTTTGGACCAATCATAGACTCTCAGCCCAGCATACTTCACAGGGGTGTTGTTGTGAAAATAAGATTGAGAATAGGAGGAGGAGAATGATATAAGCTGCTTTGAGTTCTTTAAACAAGAAAAAGGCAGGATATAAATTTAAGAAATAAATGATAAGTGAGTGTTCCTTACCAGAACCTTTTAGGATACTTTTCCACGTGGATCAGTTCCCTACTGTTCATTCGGATATCTGTGGGAGTATCAAGGATGGTTGAGGTACAAAAAGACATGCCTTGGGGTGGGGCTGCCCTTGTGAGCCTTTGACCCCCTTCTCTCCATGCAGCTCCGACTGCCCAGTTTCCTTTCAGATGCTGGCACAAGAACCCCACTAAAAGATGTGCAAGGGAGGAACACACAAAGTGCCCCAAGCAAAATCCAGCGTCGAGAGTGGCTTCAGGTACTGAAAGCAGCAGGTGTTCTGTGTAGTGGCCCCAGCCTTCCATCCGAGCATTCCCGGTCGTTAACAAGTGTCTCTGGCAACACGGCTGGGCTGAAGATCAGCTGCTAGATTATGTGGGCAGCTCCTCCCATCTTTTCCATCTCCTGTTGGAGTCCAAGCTCATAGCTTGTTTGCCAGGAGCCCTGCACCTTCTGCTCTGCCGGCGGGCACCCTTCTGAGGGTCTCTAATCCAGAAGGAATGAACCCCGAGGTCACCCTCAAGCTCCCGCAGCTTTGCTTCCCTCTGTCCTAAGGGGGGCAACTGCAGCCAGTCAGTGGAGAGCAGAAGGGATCGCTGGCCCTAGGTCACTGCAGACCTAGAGTAACGTCTTCCTGGAGGCAGTCATACTGGCACCCACGGCCACCTTCTCCCATTTTCCAGAAGGCTGTGCAGATCAAGACAGAGGGCGGCTCCAGGCTCCACGTTGCTCCTCCTCCTGTGTACTCTGAGGATTTTGAACTGGATGAAAGCCTGGCCCCCGCACCCAGTGACTGCGAGCAGGACGGCTCTTCCCAGGTATGCGTGTCTGCTGTCTAGCAGCCTGCCCAGGGAGCCGTGTGGCTGGTGGGGCAGGTTGGAAATCAAATAATACATAGATTTCTCTGGAATTTGTGCCAGGAGCTCCAGCAGAGCTTGGAATTCTCGGATGAAGGCTGCTCAGAGGGGGAAGACTCTGACTCTGTGGAAGAGGACGTGCCTGCTGAGCCCCTTGAAGCAGAAGAGCTCCTGGGCTGTTCTGGTGAAAGCACCGGCCCATTCCTCGGCAGCGCAGAGCTGGGAGCGGCCTGCGGTGCAGCTGCTGGATCTCTCGTTGTGCTGGAATTCAAGCCTCCCGGCCCACGTAAGCCCCGTTGAACTGGACTTCCTGGGAGGGGTCTTCACAGTCAAGGGCTGACTTGCCTGGCCAGGGCCAAAGGCTGCCATATCAGTGCTGGAAAAAGAAGAAGGGGTTCCCTTGCCTGTCAGAAATGTCCACGGATCCCCCTTGAGGTTCTCCTGCCCGTAGAAAAATGACAGCCAACCTCTGCCCATTCCATATTTTCTTTGCCTCTTGTCTGGCTTGGCTCTGTGAGTGAGTGTCTCTGCGTGCATGAAAGAGGGAGCGCTAGGGAGAGGAGAATCGCCACGCGCCCGGCCTCTGCGAAGAGAGGAGAGGCTGGGATAGGCGGTTGCCCCCATTGTACCCTGAGCAGGAGGTGGACGATCTGAGCAGCCTCTCGGGCAGCCCTGTCATTCCCATGCAACGGATGGCTTCTGCCTTTGCCAGTATCGCAGGTGTGCCTGATCCTAAAGCAAACTGAACTTGGCACCCCTCTTGGGTGTATTTTTCCAGGTGTGAAGAATGAGCGTAGTCTTTCCGCCAAAAGGAAAGGTGGTGTGGAGCCCTACATCCCCACCAGGCCTGAGAGCTCCTCAGCCCGGCCCTGTCCAGCGGAGTGCCCCTGTCCGGAGGAACCAGAGGGAGCCGCCTCCAGTAAGGGAGACAGTCGTCCTCTTCGGCAGCGCTTGAGGGGCGGCAGCAGCTGAGGAAAGCCAAGTGGTGTGGATGGATGGCACCCCGGGGCTCTCCCGCTCCTTTCCCAGGGCCTGGCCTGCGATTGCTTTGTTGACGTTTGTCCCCAGATTGCCTCGGGTGGCTATCCAATGCCAGTAGTTTGTTGGGCTCTCGTTAGTTGGGCATGCCAGGCAGGTGAGAGTGAAGGACACTGTCACGCTCTGGAACAGGCCAGCTTGTTTATCTTGCAATGTGTTGTCTTCAAGCACCAATGGGCACAGGTGGGAAGCCCCCAGGACCATTCATGTTCTTTGGAACACAATTTTGGAAAGCTGCCGCATGCCACATCTTGCTTCTGGCTGGCTTCAGTTGCTCCCTTCGCAAGGCGTCTTGGTCGTTCCTGCTGGTTTTGCCATTTCCCGCTGCCTTTCCCACTCCCCAGTGTGCAGTTGTGTTCAGTTAGCACATTCCTCTGGACTCCACCTGCCTCTCCAGCTTGTAAACGCTGCAGAAGGCCCAAATGGCCAAGCCTTCCTCCTCAACACAGACTTCTCTGCTGTTTGGAAGTCTCGCCTCCTGCACGCACTCCCCGGCTTCTGCTTGGCCAGGCTCCTCTTTCTCCCCTGACCCGATGCAGAGGCCTTACCACCCTCTGCTGCAGGGCTCTCGGTCAAGCCTGCCTTCCCTCTTTGCTTGGGACCGGGCCCGCTCTTCCCCGCTGGCAGGGTTGACTCAGTGGATGTGGCTGGTGCCAGACGGCTGCTGCTCCCCTGGGGGGACTGTCTGTGTTTCTTTCACACCCTTAAGGGGCTGAGCGCCGGGGAGAATACTGTGCACCGTGTCCTGCACAAAGCACAGGGAAGCGGAGGCTGAGCCATCCCCTCCTGTATCGCTAGGAGTTTCTCCTTCCAGAACCCAAAAGCCTTTTCAGCCTGAGAGTGGTAAAGTCGGGGACAGGACACGCTTTCCCCTCTAGAAAGTGGCAAGAGAGATTTTCTCCTCCTTTTGGATGACAGGGCCAGTAAGCCGGACCAATAGGCCACTCTCGGCAACGCGAAAGAATGTCTGCGAGAAGAAGGACCCGGCACACTCTGCTTCCATGGTCCTGAAAGCTGTGCAAGCAGAAAACGAGACCCTCCAGAAAGTGGTTCTTTGTAGGCAGCTGGAGACCTTGGCTGATCCCCCAAGAGCTGACTTGGAGCAGGCAGTTCACGCAGAGGTTAGTACTGGAAGGGACTCGGCTCACCCAGCGGGGCCACTGTGGTGGCACTTCCTGTCGATACGCCACTCCATCTCCAAAGCTGCCCGTCTATTGCAAGCCTTTCCCAGCATTCCATAAGTTCCAGGAAGCCAGATTCCAGCTGAATACCGGGGAAAATTGCCTGACGGTTAAAGCAGCACAGCAGTGGAACCCGCTGGGTTATTCTCTGGCCTGGGGTCTTCTGCATCCCCACCTAGGAAGATCTCAGGGGCACAAGGCAGTCGCATTCGCTGCTGATTCCCACATGGACATGACAGTCTGATCCCAGCCCATTGCCAGAAGTCTGGGCAATGGTGGGGCTGGTGTTGAGAAGCATCTGCCAAGGCAGATGTCTCTTGGGCACCCACTGCGAAATGGGAACGTGCACCTCAAACTCCTGGGCTCCGTGGTGGGACTTCGAGGGGGGAAGTGTCCCCTTGAACTCTCACATGCCCAGGACATGTTCTCTGGCAAGGCCAGGATGGGGGGCCCAGGGCAGTGCCACAGATCGCGCTGGGCACTTGCCTGCCCCATCTGCGTGGGGTCGATGCTCCCAGCTCTTGCAGGCGCCGGGGTCAGGAGCGAGCGCCTGTCCTGCTGAGCTTCCTCCTGCTTTCCCTCTTCCACAGCGACCTGCTTCCCCCCTCTCCGAGCCTCCCAAGCAGCAGCACGAAGGAACAGTGGTCTCCACGCTGACAGAAAGGACTGGGCCTCTCGGGAACAGGTGGCTTTCTTTCGGGCTCCTCCTCCGTTGCAGGGGAAGGGGGTGCAGCAGTGGCCTCACGCAGGCGCCCCTGCACCGCCTCTGCTGAGCTTCCCCTATGTCTGACCTGCCAGGAACTGTGGGAGGGGCAGGTGGCGGAGGCACGCAGTCCCGTCTGCCGAGTGTGCGGCAGGCACATGCACGTGCTGGCGGAGCACTGGGCCAGCAGGTGGGGAGAGCTGACGGCCGACTCCCGCAGTCTGCCGCCAACGCACAGGCGCACCCTGTGCCCCTTGGAGGCCGTGCTTCACAGCAGGCCGTGTGCTCAGCAGGCAGCAGCTGGCAGCGCATGCAGAGCTCCAAGTCGGGATGCCGGTCCCTGAACTTGCCTCTCCGCTTGCCGTCTTGAAAGCACTGGATGCCCTCCCCTGAACTGTTCAGGTTTTGCCCAGCAGTCCTCAGCCCAACAGAGCCGAGCCCCATTCTGTGGCTAGCTGGCAGGCCCTGTCCTAGCCCGAAGGGTCATGCTGCTCCAGCAAAGGCCAGTCTTCGCGGCTCACAGCATGGGCACTGCTGCCCTCGGTCCCCCCACCTGCCCCATCCACCACTGTGAATGATGCATCTTGGGCAGGTGTTGCCTCTACGCCGTCTCAATGCCTCTGTTCGCTTCCCATGCCCTCCCCAGCACTAAACCCTTCATTTCAGGCAACCGAAGAAATTCTTGAAAGTGCTTCAGGAGATAAAGAGCCAGTCTGATCTCCAGGGCCCTGAGCAGCCAGGGCCTCACGTCCTGGTAGGAAGCAAGGACTACAGCAAGCTCTGGGGGGGTAGCCAAATGCAGGGAGGGTGGGGGGAGAGTCCCCGAGGCCTCGGCAGCCTCAGCCAGGAGAGGGGGAAGGGGGCTGTCCAGTGCACCGTTGACTGGATTGTGAAAGAGGAAGCCGACCCAGCTGTGCGCCTGCCCTTGGCGGCCCAGCAACTGGCACCACCAGCTAGACAGGCAGCTGTGCCTGCAGCAAAGGCTTGGTGCTGCGTTCACGGGGCTGCTGCTCAGCCCTGTCGGGGAGGGGAGGGGAGGCTTCTTCTGCTGGCCCCTCAGAAGCAGAAAGCCTTTTTATTTATTTCCTTTCTACACCTGCCCCCCCCCCCCCGAGCTCTCTGCATGGTTTGCAACAGCCCAGAGGCCATGGGCTTGGGCTTGGGCTCCCCCCTCGTGCCCTGCGGCAGGTCTCTTGTGAACAGTCCAGCCCCCCCCCCGCTGCCCCCTGCCACTTGCCGGCTTCCAGTGTCCTGTGGGGACCCCCTTGCCGTCCGTGCTCATGGCAGTGCCTCCGACTTACACTTTTAGGATCAGCAGGAACCGGAGTGGGGGATCTGCGATGCCATTTATATCACTCTGGAGGTCCTCTCCAACTGGGGCAGTCCAGCGAGGGTGGGCCTGGCGGAAGTGGAGTTCTACGACTTGCATGACAGGAAAGTGTTTGTGTCACCTCACGACGTGGACATCAGGCACGCTGAGGCTCCGGGAGAACTGTGGCGCCTGGTCAACAGAGGCCTGAACGTAAGCGCCCTGCCTGTGCTCCGCCTGGAGCTGTCAGGTGCTTCGCCCCCCTTTCGGAGGCTGCAGTTTGCCTCCCCCCGCAGGGCTCCCATGCTTCCACTTCTCCTGAAAGTACCGTGTGGCTTCCTTGGACAGTGTGCCGCAAGCATGCGCAGCCCTCTTGTGCTGGGGATCCTGGCTTTTTTCTGCTTATCCCTTCTTGCCTAAGAAGCGGCTCTTTACCCAGAATAAGGCTGGATGCGGGGGCCTGGCAGATGCTTGCCGTACCACATGTAGTGATGGCCACCACCATGGGTGGCTTTCCGAGGGAATTCGGCAAACGCTCGGAGGCTTGGGCTACCAGTGGCTGCATGTGGCTCTATGGCACCTCCAGTTTGGGAGGCGGTCTGCATCCGTGCACCAGGGACTGGACGGGGGGCCTTGCCTGCGACTCATATCCTGCTTGCGGCCTGCCCAAATGCAGCCGACGGGCCACTGCCTGAACAGAATGCTGGGCCAGAGCGGCTTTCGGCATGTATTTTATTCTGCGGAAGTTGGGGAGAGCCATGGCTGGAACTGGCGTGAGGGGCCAAGCTGCTGGGGTGGCCGGAGGGGTGTAGGCCCTGCTGCATTGCAGGCGTGCAGGCTCACCCCCAAGGAGCCAAGTCCCCACGCCAGCCCTGCCGCTCGGAGCACTGGCTCTTTCACGGGGGCTTAACACACGCGCTGCTTCAGGAGGCTCCGTGTGCTTGAGAGGCACTTGGAGCCCAGTTGGGTGGCCTAACCAAGTCCCAGGAAACAGGTGTCCAGAAATGCTGCTTCTCTCGAAGCTTCTTTCTGCCTGGTAATCTGCATGCCAGTGGCCTGTTGGAAATCCTGACAAGCTGCAAAGCTGATTAATTTGATTAGAAGGAGCAGTCCTGCCTTTGACCTGCAGCTGCACCTCCAGGCAGGCGCTCCTGTGCTGTGCTGAGCCTGCCGCTCGCTTCCAAAGAGAGACCAGCCCGCCTTCCCAGACGGGAATATGGTGCTTACGGCCTCCCCTTCTGATCTCTGGGCCGGCCAGGCCCCCAGCTGTGCGTGTGGGTGAGGGGAAGAGCCTGGAGAAGACCACCTGCTTCCTTATGTTGTAGGTCGGCAGAGACCATTCCCCCTGGACGTGTCTCTTCCAGCCGCCGGTGCAGCTGTACTTTGTGGTTCGAAATCCCAGCCTGTCGGGTGACTTTGGGCTCTCCCGGATCAGGATTTGGAATTACAGTGCCCCTGTTCCTGACGTAAGTGGCTACCTCTGCGTGCTGCATTTCCCTTCCCGGTGTAAAGCAAGCCTCAGCAGGGGTGACCCAGCAGGGAGGGCAGGAGAAGGGAGGAAGGAAAAGTGGAACAGCGTCTGGTGGGTTTCGTTCTAGCCCTGCTTTAATTCTGAGCTGCAGAAATGTCCTAACTGGTGTGTTTGAGACATTGTGGTGCCTTCTGAATTGCAGGGGGAGTTAGCCGAGTCTGTTCTGATTTTATTTTTGAGGAAGGTCAGAAAGAGTGAGAGAGCTGTCCGAAGCGAAGCGTCTCCTGCCCTCGGGGCCGTTGCTGCTGCGAATGGGCCGAACAGGACACGGAGGGCCCCCATTCGTTCGGCAGCCAGAACGCCCCACGCCACTTGCACTCCACTCCCCAGCGGTCCTTCCAGCTCCACTCTGTGCGCTCAGTCCGCATTGGCCAGGGCCAGGCAGGGTGCTGCCCACTTGAGTCTTCTCTCCTAAAGCTTTTTCGCAAGCCTGGAGGCCCAGCTGGCTTGTCTGCCGCACGCTTGGCGCGACTTGCATCCTGAGCCGGCCCGCGGAGCAGGCGCTCGCACGCTTTGTTCAGCAGCAGCCACCGCCCACAGCAGATGGCAGGCAGGCCTCTGCAAATTGCTCCAGAGTCTGCTGGGATGCTTCCCCAGAGTGGCTCCAGGTACCGCGTGAAAGAGGATTTTCCCTTCTGGATTATAGGCGAGCTGAGCCTGATCCTTTCGGACTGGCCCTCCTCTGTGCACTTGCAGAGGTACTGCTGCAGCAGCACAACGGGAAAACAAAGGGCAGCGTCCTTCTGAGCTTTTGAACCAAGGGCAGTGCTGCCAGCAGAAATGAAATGCCCCCTTCCCTGGCAAAGAGGTGGCAATGCAGTGACAGGAGCACGGGTTGCTTGCGGGCTTTCTTTGTGCGGGTCCCATATGGGCTGGCTACTTTGGTGACCAGGCTGTCTTGAGGTAGGCTCTGAAGTTAAGAGAATTTGCCCCAAACAAGACACGGTGCATGCGAGGGATTAATGGGTGGAGAGAGGCACTCAGCAAAGGGAGTTCTTGGTGGCACCAAGAGACAGCCTGCTGGCCAGGGCGCCAGGTCAGAGTGTGGAGCAGTCGGCTTCATTCAGACATGCCACTAAGCATGGCTCCCCATTAAGAGCTCCTGGGCTCCTTGCTTCCTCTGAAGTAAGTAGTCGCAGGCGTTGGCTTGTGCTTTAGAGTCACCACCAGTGGTCAGGCCGTCCAAGCTGTGGTTGGCCTTATCTATATCTTGTTGAAACCAGCCAGCTTCAAGCAGCAGAGTATGAAGCTGGTTTGCTGTAACAAACTGTAATTGAGTTTGACCCCCATTTAGGATCCAGACAGAGGTTAAACTGTGCTTCATTGACAGTGGAAGCTCCCAGCCTCCTGCCACGAGTGTGGGTTCACTTGGGCCTATTCTTGTAACTTTGAACCATGGGCAGCTGGCAGCACTCTGGCTCCCCACCGTGTGTGCCATCCTCCTTGGGTAGATTATGCCCCCTCACAACCCCGCCAAGAGCAGAGCTGTGGGCTCGGATCGCAGTGGAGAGGTTATGATGCGGGGAGAGCCATCCCTCGCTGTGAAGATGGGGTCCCCCACCACTGCCCACTGGCTGGGTGGGTGTGCAGCGGAGGTGGCCTTGAGTAAGTGGCAGGAGAGGTGCCCCCAGCAAGAAAGAACGTGAGCAGACTGCCTCCTCCTCTTGGTCCAGTGGCTTGTTTCCTGCTCCAAGGCAGGAGACTCTGCTGCAAAGTAATGATCGTTAGCTGTGCCCAAATTGTAAATTCTGGCTAACCCTTCTGCTGAAGCAAACTGGCTGCATGGGCAGCCTGCTGAGAGAGAGGGCTTACCTGGGAGTCCTGCAGGGGGTGGACCTGATGGCCCTCTGGCCCCTCCAACTCTGTGATTCTGTGCCTGCAGGCCACAGGGGTGAAAGGCTTGCTTATCTTTGGTTTGGCTGTATCACATCCAGATGCATCTGATTTTGCAGCTCCTTCCTTGCATGCTTGATTCCCAGGAAGATTCCGGCGGAGGGAGGGGCGTTGTGTTGAAATGGCATTCGTTTGATTCTTGCTGATGAGGTGTTTCTCCTTGTGTTTCAATTTGGGATTCATCAGGCAGGCATGTGAACTGCTTCTTCTGTGTTCCCTCAGGATCTTGATATCGGAGCGAGGAATGTCCTTGTTTATGTCGATGGGAACCTCGTCTTCGCTGGTGAGCTGCCAAAAAGCTGCGTAACCACCAATGTCAATGGTGGCAGCTGCACCACCATTGGCCTTCCGGCACGCACCTCGCTCCCTCTGAAGGAGAGGGAAGAGAAGAGCTGGCCCGCTGTGGACCAGAGCCAGGAGTCGGATCTGCCACCCACCTTGGGAGGAAATTGCCTCGGGGAAAGGGGGAACTCCGTCGGTCTTGCTGAGTTGGAGGAAGGCCTCCGAGCAGCGCCAGGCCCTGGTTTCCCGGCAGATGGCAAGAGCTCCCTCTCGGCAGAGACTGCAGAACTTGCCCAGTCTGCGGAGGAGCTCTCGCTAAGTGAGCAGATGGAAAAACTTTCCAGAAGGCCTCTGCCTGAGTTGCCCAGTTTAGCTTCCCGCTCTTGGATCCTGTCCTCTGCGGGGGGCAAAGGAGAGAGCCCAGTTGGCGTTCCTAGGCCAGAGCTGCCGCCGTGGCTTGTGTCTGAGCCCCTGCTGGACCTGCAAGCCCAGCTGCCCTCCGAGAGCACGAGCAGAGGCTCCTTCACGATAACGGGCTGCAGCCCCCATCTCGGTTATGCTGAGCTTGAGCAATCCAACAGTGGGACTCCAGATGTGGGCGAGAAGCCCACGCCCGGGAGCGCAAGAAAGGGGTCCGCCTCTGACCTGGACAAGTCTCTGATAAGCTGGCTGCCTTTCAAGTCCCCAGCTGAGCTGCTTCCTCCAGGGCAAAACTGTGGAGGCGGAGAGAATAATGAGCTCGGCCATGCCGTGTGCCGGGAAGAAGCACCACCTGAGGCGGGTAAGAGCTGCCCCGCACCGGCCGGCCTCCCTGGGGTTCCCCAGAAGGCATCTGCCCGTCCAGCTGTGGGCTCCCTTTCGAGCACAAACAAACCCCAGTGTGGTTCCCAGTCAGATAACCTGCAGGTCCGCCTGTCGTTCTTCGCTCTCGACTGCCAGAGTCCGCAAGCAGCATGGGGCTGCGTTTGCTCTTGCCCCATGCTCTGCCTTGCGGGTGGGGCTGCCCTGAGGGGTCTGAGCACTGATCAGCACCGCACAGGGAGCACCAGTCTGAAAAGCACGTGAAAGCAGAGCAGGCTGTGTCTGTAGGCCTCCAGCCTCTCATTTTTTCTAGTCAAATTCTCTTTGCTTAGTTTTCCGGGGATGCATTTTGCCTGATACAACTCCTTTAATGAGATCCTATCATTGTGTGAGGAGTTGACCTCACATTTACCCCTTCAGTTGCTGAATGGGGCCACATGAGACAAATCTGGCATCCCCGCCCAGTTTGCACTGGAGACACAGGAGACTCCTGCCCTGCCCTTTTATGCTCTTTCTCCAGTGCCTGTGTCGCAAAAAGTGGCGGGCCTCCCTTGCCACACGACCAGCATGTCTGGACCCGAGCGGTGGCACGCACCCTCAGCCCTTCCTTTTTGGGCCCTTTGTGAGCGCAGCACTCGGAAGCGCTCTGGAGAGCTGGTCGCCCCAAACCAAACCTGCCTGCTTTGTCCACCAGTTGCCAAGAGCTGTGAAGCATCTTGGCTCGCAAGTGAAGGCCCCAAGCACGTGTCACAGCTGCTGGCTGTAAGGTGGATTTCGGCCACCCTAATGTCAGAGGAAGCATGTGGCACGTTCTCTGAACCCCCTCTCCATGGCCCCATCGTGGGCTGCTCTGGCAGGGCCTCACGCACTGTGTCAAACTGGCCTGGCTACCCTTGGGAGCCGTATGGCAATTCAAAGCATTGGGGTGGGGTGGAGGGCTCAGGAAAGCAGGCACCCCCATTCACTCGCGGTGGTTCCTGTTCAATAGAAATAAGGTCTTGCTTCTAGCTGATGTCTCCCATTAACCATTTCCTTTCCACACGTCATAAATCCAACTTTTGTTGCTGCCTGGCTTCCACACACACTTCCACTCCTCGCCACTGCGAACCATGCACCGCCTGCCCCTGAAGCCCTCTCTGCCCGTTCTTTCAGGGGAGGCGGCAACCGCTGCCAGAGGCTGCAGGAGGCCCTCCCGTGCCCGATGGACTGGGTCCCAGGACCTCGCTCTGCAGGAGTCCTGGAACTCCCTCCTGACATTCAACCACTTGCATCGAGGACGCATCTCCAACATGGACTTCCAGGGGGACATTTTCGATGAGTTTCTTCACCAGCAGAAAATCAGTCGGCAAGGGAATCCCAAACTCCCAATCAAGGAGGGTGGGCAGGTGCTGCCAAAATGGCCGGAAAGCGAGACCTGCCCGGACTTGGAGGATGGGAGCGACTTTAAGATCCCGGTCCTGCCCTACGGACAGCACCTGAGAATCGATATCCAGTCGACCTGGGGAGACAGGCACTACGTTGGCCTTAACGGGATCGAGCTGTTCAGCTCCCAGGGAAAGCCCATCCACGTGGCCCACATCAAAGCCGACCCGCCAGACATCAATGTCTTGCCGGCCTACGGCAAAGACCCCCGCGTGGCAGCCAATTTGCTGGACGGCGTGAACCGGACGCAGGACGACATGCACCTCTGGCTGGCTCCCTTCACGCCTGGGAAGCCCCACTGCATCTCACTGGACTTTGCGAAGTCGTGTGAGGTGGCCATGATCCGCATCTGGAACTACAACAAGTCTCGCATCCACTCATTCCGGGGTGTGAAGGACATCTCCATGGTGCTGGATGGGCAGTGCATCTTCGCAGGGGAGATCGCCAAGGCTTCTGGGACACTTGCCGGAGGTGCTGGCTGGAGCGGGGCGGGGGGGGGGGGGGCTGCCTGCCTGCCTCCCCAGCTTTTCAGTGTTTCTTTAATCCTGCCTTGCAAAGAAGGCTGACAGGGAAACGTTCCCTGTGCCTGCTCTGCCCTGGTCACCCAGCCGTCTGCTCCTCCCTGCCTTGGGCTCAGGAAGCTGCCTCTGGGAAGCGAACCTGCAGGGACCAGGCAGGCAGCCTTGAGGCCATGCGCCACGCTGTGCGGCACCCCCCTCCCCTCTGTGCCGAAGCCAGCTTGGCTGGAGAGGTGCAGGGGCTTTCTCTCCCGCGTCCCTGTCCAGTTTCAGTTTCCCCGCGCCTGGAGAGGGAGACAGCTTATGCGTGTCCCCTGGAGCCCCTTCCCTCCTGCAGAGCCGCTCCAGTACAACAGCCCCCCTCTTGCCTCCTCGCCCCCTGCCTTGCGCTGCCTCCTGGCCCCTCCCCGGGAGAAGGGAAGCTGCCCTTCAGGGCCGCCTTGGAGCCCTCTTGCCAGGGAGGGAGGCCTGGGGAGGGCAGCGCTCACAGGGCTCTCACGGGGGATCCCTCTCACCGGCCGGGACCTGAGGCTTGGTTTTGTCTTTTGTTCCGATCTTTCCCTTTTCTCAATCCTTGCTTGCCTCTGAGAAGCCCACAAAGCTACCTGGCCAGGCCAGTGTGCGGGAGCGGCAGACTGCACTGCCAGTGCTCAAAGAGTGCGAGGAGGAGCAGGGGACTCCCGGGGCGCAGGGCCTCCAGCAGCGGCTGCGTGGCTTCTTCCGCGAGGGGCTGTGCGTCTTGGCTGCAGCATCACGAGGAGGAGAGGGCCTGGGCCCCTGGGGCTGCAGCCCTGAGCACGTCATCACTGCAGGGCTGTCCATATTGCAGCTCCAGAGCAATTTGGGGACACCATCTTGTTCACAACCGACGAGGAGATTCTGGAGACCATCTTCTGTTACGATGAGTCCTATGATGAGGAAGCAGAAAATGTTGGCAGCCGGAGGTATGAAGAAGAGCTGAAGAGGCCAAGAACTGCCGATGGGGAGGGGGATGAGAGGCCCTTCACACAAGCTGGTTCCAGGATGGAAGACAAGCAGGTGGGTCTTCTCTGGCCCCTCACGAGGCCAGGGCGGCGGCGAGCTGAGCCCAGAGCTGACAAAGGGAAGTGGGGGAACACATGGCTGCAGAAACCGATTCTTAAGCAGATCTCAGAATGGAGACAAGGAACTTAGCGACCAAGAGAGGGGAGGTCAGTGAGTGCTGTCTGGGAGGAGGAGCCCCCCTTGCATTCTGGGACACCCCATCCTTCTGGGGGACAGCCGGGCAACCCACCTGACTTCCTGCACCACAAAGGGAAGGAGCAGTTCCTCTGCTGTGGGCAGGCCTGTACTTCGTGGTGCGTGTGCCCCTTTGAGAACTTCATCCGCAGCAGAACAGGCCAGGTAAGCTGCTGATTTCCCTCTTGGCAAGGCAATGACAAGTCCACCCTTTCTCAGAGCCAGAAGCATGATGCTGTGCCAGAATCCATTCCAGAGATGGTGACCACGGAGCCTGGCATCTACGCCGGAAAGTGTAAGTCTTCCTCTGGTTTGCCCACTTACGGCAGCGCCCCTGGGCACTGGGCAGGAGGCCTGGTCCTTGTGACTGCTCTTGCTGCCTCCTTCTGGTTGCAGACACTTCTGTTCCCCTGGAAGCTGGCGAGTGGTTCCCTCACTCATGGCCGATTGCAGAGGTTCCCCTCTTGCAGTGGCACTTCTGGGTTTTCTGCCGGTGCAGTGGCTCCCCGCTGCTCTTTTCTCCATCTGAATTTAGCAGCCTAAGCAGTGCTCTGCTTGCTTCAGCCAAGCACTTGCGTCTCCAGGCCAGAAGCTGCCTCTTCCCCCGTGGATGGTGGGTTTTTCTGAATCCTTTGGGTCGCTGGCGAGCTTGCCAAATCTTCCCACTTCCCGGGGAAAGAGGCTGTATCATGTGGTCCCTTCTGGCGGCAGCTACGGGCCTCTTCTTTGGAGAAGCTCTGAAGCCGAGCCCACCCAAGTCTACCTCTGTGTAGGCCTCCTGCTAAACTTCACTGCTTCTTGGGGAGACCTGCATTACCTCGGACTGACGGGGCTTGAGGTGGTTGGAAGGGACGGCCAGGCAATCCTGCTCTCCGTGGATCAGCTTTCTGCCTCCCCTCGAGACCTGAATGATCTCATGGAGTACGTGGACGATTCCAGGACCTTAGATAAGTGAGTACCGCCATAGGCATGGGGGCTCTTAGCAAGTAGTGCCCCCCCCCCCGAAAGTGGCAAACTGCGTGTGCTGCAGGGGAGGCTCTGTGGGGAATTCAGCAGAGCTCGGGCAGCTTTCTCTGGCACAGGCCTGGCAAGTCCCAGCTCTGGAGGGCTCTGCCCTGTCACTGCCAGGGCCGTCTCCAGTGCTGCTCCAGCTCCCCTCCTGGGCACTGCCAGGGTCACTTGCAGCCAGGCTGGCAGAATGCAGGGTCAGGGTCTTCGTGCCCCGGTGAGTCTGTGGCCCTCTCTCTGCTGTACGGGGCCCGAGGCAGCTCCCCTGTGGGGCAGCTGGAAGCGTCCCACCTGCTGCAGCCCTTGCTGCTGGCGAGATGTGGAGCCTGGCAGGTTCTGCCTCCTCCACTGCAGTGGGCCTGGGAGATTGCAGACGGCAGCCACCGCTGGCCAGGCTCCAATCAATATTGGGGCCACGCTCAGGCATGAGAGGTGGGGAGCAGGGCCTGCTGTGATCAGCCTGCCATGCTCATTTTAGCATGTGCTGCTCTTGGCATTCACATTTGTCCTCCTTGGGACAGCAGCAAGGATGGAGACCCTTTTGGAGGCCCGAGTACCCAAACTGCAGCCCAAAACCCTCTTTCTCGCAAAGTGCCAACACAACACTCAAACCTAAAAACTGAGGTTTTAGTTTAGAAAAAACAACGCACAGCCAGTCCAAGCAAATATATATATATATCCTTGGCATCGCACTGACTGGCCATGTGAAAGCTTGGATGAGTCGAGGTTTGTGACTTGCAGCTCATGATAGCATCACCTTCTTTCCAAGCATGCGCATGTCTCCTATTTGCGCTGTTATCCGATGTTTGACTGCTGGGGCAATGTGGGGTAAATTGGCTTGCATGCCAAATGCGGCAGACATGTCATACTTCACAACCACTGGCTTAACTTTACACAGGTGCAGTTCCTAACCCTAATTTAGGGCTAAAGTTCCATTGAAAAGAGGGCGATTTTGAAAAAGCCTTCCCTGAGGAGCTTTTTCTGCCCAGCTCATCATTCCTGCCCATTCTATGCACATTCCAACCATCAAAATCATGCCAGGACACCTCATATTCCTAACCCTAACCCTACCCTGGTGCACTCCCCTAACCCTAATACAGGGCTAAAGTTCCACTGAAAAGAGGGCGATTTTGAAAAAGACTTCCCTGAGGAGCTTTTTCTGCCCAGCTCATCATTTCTGCCCATTCTAAACACATTCCAACCATCAAAAACATGCCAGGACACCTCGTTTTCCTAACCCTAACCCTACCCTGGTGCA